ACTCAGACTTTAGATCCAATGCAGGGGCCCTGGGATTGTCTCCATACTACTCAGCCTGAGTCATCTGCTATTATGGAGAGGTGGAGAAAAAAAAATACTGGCCAGTTGAAAGGCATATAAAGAAAAGAATTGTTCAAAAGCAGCTGAAGTTTGTAGCTAACTCAGTTGTAGTGTGCTTAGCTAGCATGCATGATGGATGGCCTGGCTTCCAACCATTAAGGAACCAAAAGAAGAAGAAAAAAGAAAAAGGGAGCTGAGAAGTCTCAAAGAGTAAATAAAGTAAAAGCATGAGGGCTGGGAATGTGGTTCAGCTATTGAGCATGTATGAGGCTGCAGGTTCAATCCCCATCCGAGACCTTATGAGAATTCTCCTGGGACAAGGCACTGCCTAGTGGTGATCCCAGCTGTGTTTATTCCAGTTGGATTCCAGCTAGGACCTTTCTGAAGCCAACAGGAAGTAAGACTCGGCAGTGAGGTCAAATGAGTTTGGTAGAGGAAAATCAATTCAGAGTCCTGACTGCCCTGAGCCAAACTCCACCCTCCAGCAGAAGTCCAGTCCCAGAAAAACTTTGTCTCTGGGCTAAATCTTCAGACAGCAAGGGGAAGAGCAGAAGCCTACCTGCTTGCTACTGGTAGGACAGGCTCTGCCAGGAAGTTGCCTATACACCTCTGGCAGATTAGAACCTGGCTTGAAGCTGCCTTTTGTGTAGCTTGAGTCAAGGGATAAATGGTATGTCCCAGTGATTTCTTCACTATATGAGATGTGATATTGCCGGCCCCAAGAAACCCATTAAGGCGTCTTACATTATAGAGATGGCCTTTCCTCTCCTGTCTGTTGATAGTTGGACTGCTTATGTGCGGCAGCTCTCATGCTTCCGACCCTGTAGTGGGTCATGTTCTGTGCTGTACAGAGTGGAAGAGTGGGCTTCCTTCTCCAGAACAAACTGACCACTAGTGTTCTGGGTTCAACTATGCAGTGGAGATGTGGTTTTAATTCTGTGTGTGGGTGGGAGAAGAGGGTACCAGAGATGGAAGGGCCTTGTACATACTAGGCAAGTACTCTTATCACTGAGCTACACTTTATCCCCAAAAGTGCTTTTACTTTAAACAAGACTTTTCCCTAATAGTCCTTCACACCTTCATGTTTTCCTGGCCCCTTGCCATGTGCCTTCATGTGTCTGTTTCTGTAATGCTGTTAGGGGCCACAACCAGTGCTGTGGCGGCCCCAGAGAGCAGAAAGCCAAATGATTCTACCTTTCTTTGCTGTCTCCATCTATAGCATGCAAAACCAGGAGCAGTGATGGCTTCAGGATGTATGGGTTTGGTGACAGGACCAAAATCAAGTTCCAAGCTGGAAGGCTTCCCTCCCACCCCCAACCCCCAAAAAGCCTTGGGCTTTTCAAGAGCCTTGTATCCATGCTGGCCTGTCTTCTAGGATGAGGCTGTAGAGCGGGAGACACCTGATCTTTCTCAAGCTGAGACTGAGCAGAAAATCAAGGATTACAATGGCCAGATCAACAGCAACCTCTTCATGAGCTTGGTGAGTCAGCTGCTCAGGAGTGTCGGGAGACAGAAGCCCAGCTTTGTGCCAGATGCCCAGAGAGTTTGAGCCAAGTAGCAATCTATGTATACCTGGCTTCGCCCTGCCCCAGGAGAGCTCAACATAACCTTTTCCATCTCCAGTAGAATCCTGACATGTCATGGTTCTTCTTTCTCTCTTAGAATAAGGATGGCTCCTACACAGGCTTCATCAAGGTTCAGCTGAAACTAGTACGCCCTGTTTCAGTGCCTTCCAGCAAGAAACCACCTTCCTTACAGGATGCCCGGAGGGGCACGGGGCGGAGCACAGCTGTGAGGCGCCGCACCTCATTTTACTTGCCTAAGGATGCTGTTAAGCATCTGCATGTTCTATCTCGAACACGGGCTCGTGAGGTCATTGAGGCCCTGCTTCGCAAATTCATGGTAGTAGATGATCCTCGCAAGTTTGCACTCTTTGAACGAACTGAACGGCATGGCCAAAGTAGGTTTCCAATCTCAACTCTCCCTATGTAAGGGGTATCTGTGCATTCAGGGGCAGAGGCATCTGAGTCTGTCTCTTAATTGTTTATTTTTTCCCGCCCCACCTCCAGTATACTTCCGGAAACTGTCAGATGACGAGCAGCCCTTGAAGCTACGGCTTCTTGCAGGGCCCAGTGAGAAAGCCCTGAGCTTTGTCCTGAAGGAGAATGACTCCGGAGAGGTGAATGTGAGTACACAGCCCTTCTTATTTTCTGTTTTGTTTTGTTTTGTTTTGTTTTGTTTTGTTTTGTTTTGTTTTGTTTTGTTTTGTTTTTCGAGACAGGGTTTCTCCTGGAACTCACTCGGTAGACCAGGTTGGCCTCAAACTCTCAAACTCAGAAATCCGCCTGCCTCTGCCTCCCAAGTGCTGGGATTAAAGGCGTGCGCCACCACCGCCCGGCCCTTCTTATTTTCTTATCACTAGACAAAGCTAGTAGGGTGTAGCTATGGTGAGAACTCCAGGGGAGACTGGGCTAGAGGGCAAGCTCTGCAACACCTCTCCAAGAATATGCAGGTCCTTGAACAGAAGTTTAGCTTTCCAGCATTCCCAAGCCAAGGTCTAGAGTCTGTCCCAAGAAACTAGGGAAAAGCTGAACCTAGTGGTTCATGTTATAATCACTGTACTTGCTGTACTTGGGAGGCTGAGACTGGAGGATTGCTCTGAGTTTGAAGTCAGTCTGGGCTAAAAAAAACAAACAAACAAACCACACAAGCTAGGAAGAATTGTCTTAGGGCTTTGTTGTTTCCTGGTGTTGAAAAATCCTCCAAAAATTGAGGACTTGACTAACTCATGGTGAGCCAAGACAAGTGGAGAGCTATGTGGGCTAACTGTGGGCTCAGAGATGGCTTCACAGTTCAGAGTACTTGCTGCTTTTCACAAGGACCCACGTTCTGTTTGAAGCACCCATGTCAAGTAGCTCCCATCACCTGCAACTCCAGCACCAAAGGATTTGACTTCCTCTTCTGGCCTCAGAGGGTGCCTGTAGTTATGTGCATGTAACCCCACTCTAACACACACACACACACACCAATAGGGCAGGAAAGATGGCTAAAAGCACATATTGTTCTTGCAGAGAACCTGGGTTTGATTATTAGACCCATGTAGGAGCTTATAACTCTCCATAATTCCAGACCATGCACTCAGTGGACATGCCTACCTGCAGGCAAAACACTTATACACATAAAACAGATTTTTTAAAAGACTTTGTGTATGAATGTCTTGCCTGCGTGTATATATGGTGTATATATGTGCACACATGCTCTTAGAATTCAGAAGAATTCATAGAATTCTATGGTGTTGGCTCCCCTGGAACGGAGTGACAGATGATTGGAACCCACTATGTTGGTGCTGGGAATTGAACTCTGATCCTCTGCAAGAGCAACCAGTGCTCTCAACCACTGAACTATCTCACGAACCCCTAAAACAGATCTTTAAAAAAAAAAAAGGAAGAAAGAAAGAAAAGAGAAAGAGAAAGCTTCACAGGTGTAACCTGGAAAACATAAAGGCCGCTTTGAACATTAAGAAGGTTACCAGCTAGAACCGGTAGCACAGGCCTGTAATCTCATCTCCTTGGGAAGCTAAGGCAGGAGGATTGCCTAAAGTCCAAGACCAGGCTGGGCCACAGAAGCAAGATCCTATCTCAGAAACAAAACACTCTTCCTAGCAAGGCCTGGTGACACTGTCCTGTAATCTCAACTACTTGGAATGCTGAAGCAGGAGGATCACTAGTTCAAAGCCTTCCTGGGCTACAGGGTGACTTAAAGGCCAGTCTCAAAAGTAAAAAGGCTGGGGCTATAGTTGAGTGGTAAGTGCTTAGCCCTTGGTTCATGTCTTAGTTAGGTAATTATTGAAGGAACCTGAAGGCAGGAGCCAAAGTGGAGGCCATGGTGGTGCTGCTTACTGAATTGCTCAGCCTGCTTTCTTATGGAACCCATGACCACCAGCCCAGAGGTGGCCCCATCCACAATGGGCTGGGCTATCCCTTATCAGTCACTAATTAAGAAAGTGCCTTATAGCCAGATCGTATGGAGGCATTTTTGTTTTCAATTAAGATTTCCTACTTTCAGATAACTTTGGCTTGTGTCAAGTTAACTGAAAAGTAGACAGCACAGTGCAATAACCAGTAATGAAGGAAAAAAAAAGGCGACTTTTTCCCTGGGGGTTAGTTGTGGCTCAGTGGCAAGAACAGATGCTCAGCACAAAGCACAAAGCTCAGCAGCAAAAAAGGGGGGGGGGGAGGTGAATAAAGGGAGCTGTCTGGAAATGGAGCTTAGTGGCAAAGAAAAAGTAAAAGATAACTTGCTAACATTTATGAGACCCTAGGTTTGAATCATAGCCCATTGGAGGGTGGGGGGATGAGAGGATGAGAATATGGGGAGAGTGCACCTAACAACTAACAACAGATAGAGATATTTCTCTGTGAGGTGACTGTTTTGTAAGATCTGTTTTCTATGCAGAATGCTCATAAGGATCCTAGCATAGACTGTTTTGTCAAGAGCCTAACACTGAGCCTAGCCTAATGATAAATACTTGTAATCCCAGCATTTAGGAAGCAGAAACAAGAGAATCACAAGTTTGAGTCTAACCTAGGCTACATAGCAAGTTCAAGGCCAGCCTTTGATATGTGAAAAGACCGTGACTCCAAAAACAACAAAATAGAGGGCTTAACGGGGCTGGAGAGATGGGTCAATGATTAAGAGTACTGGCTGCTCTTCCAAAGGTCTTGGGTTCAATTCCCAATATCCACATGGCAGCTCACAACTGTCTGTAATTCCAGTTCCAAGGGATCTGATAACCCTCACACAGACACACATGCAGGCAGAACACCAGTGTACATAAATTATAAAACCTTCAAACAGCAACAACAACAACAACAAAAAAGGAGTTGGCTTAGTGGTTAAGCGTACATGTTGCTCTTATAGATGACATGGGTTTGATGCCCAGCACCCAGATGGCAGCTCACAGCCATCTGTAACTCTAATTCTGGGGGATCTGATACCTCCTTCTGACCTCTGTGTGGAAACATGCATACATGTGATACATGACCCATATATATACATAAGATAATCAGTAACAAAATGAGGAGGGAAGTGAAAAGGAAGGTAATGTCAGGATCCTAGTCCTGCTCATGGGACCATCATGGACCAGTCTCTTGAGGAGGGTCTGCCAACTTAGCCATACATTGCTGCAGCCCATGTATCTCCTCTGCCCTTTCCAGTGGGATGCCTTCAGCATGCCTGAACTACACAATTTCTTACGCATCCTGCAGCGGGAAGAAGAGGAACACCTTCGCCAGATCCTGCAGAAGTATTCTCGTTGTCGTCAGAAGATCCAGGAGGCCCTGCATGCCTGTCCTTTGGGGTGACCTTTGGTTGCCCTGGGTGACAGGAGGAGAACAGGCAGTGCGAAGAGCGTGCCGTGTGAGTGTGACAGGGCCCATGGGGTCTGAGGAGTGCGTGTGCATGGAGGTCCTCCTCTGCTGATGGGGATGAGCCCAGAGAAGGAGCTGGCCCTCTACCAGTGGATATGGCAGGGCATGGATTTTCATCCCTCTGCCCTTATGTACTGGGTCAAACTCTGGTTAGCTGCACCAGTCTTTCATCCGGGTCGCAGCTGTGATAATCTTAGAGACTCTACAGACAGAACAAGGTTATGTTTCACGGGTGAGGGCCCTTACCTATGGAGAAAGATTGTTTTGGGTCATGAATAGGTCTCAGGATAGCCCTATCAGAGCCAAAGGCAGCTGTTCAGAATAATACAAGCAATTAAGGTAGAGTCTGGGTTTCCCTCTTACCGTGCCTTCTGACTTAAATACACCCTAGGGTCAGGGAGGGCTGGCCAGAACAACTGTGTTGGGTCAGTGACGCCTCTAAGGGAAAGGTTGCTGGACCAGACCCTCCTCTTGTTTGCCAAAGCCAGAGTCTCCCTCATATTTTTGATGGAAGTGTATGAATGTATGTAATGTTTTGTGGCCTCAACTGAATGCCTCCTGTGGGGAAAGGGATGGGGGTGTGACAGTCATCATCAGGGCCTGATGCCTGAGAGAATTGGCTGAATAAAGATGTAAGAACTTTTCTGGTTTTGGACTCTATAATTATATTGTGGCCCTAATGAGAGCGACTGCCAACAATGATTGACACATCCAGAGAGCATCCTTTCCAAGGTCACAGTGGGACCAATATGTTTAGGAAATGTATGCCTGTGGATTCAGGTGTCTTTAAAACCTTGGGGGCTCGGGTCATGGTAGAGACAAGAATAAGCTACAGTTACTGCACAGGGAAGCCATTTTCTCACACAACAACTCAGACACCATAGCAGTAACCCCTTCAAATAACTACTCGTGGGTACCTCACTTCACATGCTACAAGGGTAGAGCTGGTAACAATTCTTTTCCTGAAGTATGTTATCTGGTGAGTTTACAACACTTAATTTAGGTTCCTTCAGACCTCATATAGTCATAAGAAATTGACCAAAAAGTTCTTGTCCCCTTGTGGCAAAGGCAAGTAGATAACTTGTTTGAGGCCAGCCTTTTTATACATGCATGGCAAGTTCCAGGCTAGCTCAGGCTAGTGAGACCCTGTCTCAAAAAAAAAAAAAAAAAAAAAGCAAAAGATAACAATGACATTTAGCAAGTTCTTTAATTTTGCAAGCAAGTGTGACAACTACAATGACACAGTTGTGAAAACAAGCTAAATGTACCTTAGCCTGGGACAGGCCTAAGGTCCCTTTGTGTGTGGAAGGGTGACCTAATTGACTATTGCTACTGGGCAGCATCAGGGACGTTGGAACAGTTATAGCCGGTTCGACCTTAAAATCAACAACACTTTACCTCCGCCTTTCTGGAAGGGAGCTGTCCCAGCTGACCCTTGGGACCCATAGGCTTCTGGGACCTAGAGGCAGCGCATCCTAGGGTGTTCAGCCTCTGAGAGTGGCCATTGGTTCTACACCACAGACTGATGAGACCTTTAGCCACTCAGAGGAGGCACCGTGCAGGGCGTGCGGAAGCGGAAGTGAGGTTTCCGTGGAGACAGCAGAGCCTGCGGAAGGCGGCGGCGGCGGCACCTGCGAGTGGAAGCTGGGGCAGGGCATGGTCGCGCCCGCCGCGCTGTGAGAGCGGAGCGGCCGCCGGGTCCGTCATGCGCCGGCGGCGCTGACATGGGCGCCAGCGGCTCCAAAACTCGGGGCCTCTGGCCCTTTGCCTCCACTACGGGGGGCGGCGGCCCAGAGGCGGCAGGCGCTGAGCAGTCTTTGGTGCGGTCTCGAGCCCGAGCAGTGCCTCCCTTCGTATTCACGCGCCGCGGGTAAGGGCATGGGTATCTGCCTTTGGGAGGACATCTGGGAATGAGATACCCTCCCCCACCCCCCGCATTTGAATCAGAACGACTGTCATATTTTGGGTCTCAGTCAAAGCAAGGAGAAGGGAAAACCAAGCGGCATTCAGCTCTTGACCGCCCAGATGGTCTTTTTAGAGAATTGGCTGAGGCTTGTTTCTTAGGGAGAAGCTCCTCCATAATACAGCTAAGACAGCCTCTGAGAGTCTTAAGACCTTCGTTTCATCCAACTCATCCTGCAAATTAAAGGCATTTATGCTCCTTCTGTTCTTCTAAGCCTTAGATGAATCTAAGGGAAAGTGACCTTCTGTTTAGATGTCTTGCCTTCCTCACTGTGAAGTTGGACCTCCAAGAATAGTGTCTGGAAAAGCAAAGATAGGCTTCATTGTTGAAGGTGGGGCCACAACAACAACAAAGGGCCCTCAACCAGTTGGGCTTTCTAGATCTGGAGCACTAACCTAACCCTCTTTTTTTCCCAGTTGCTCACACAAAATGCCCTGGACCTAGTGGGCTCCTAGGAACTGGCACTCCCTGTGATGGAAATTTGACCGTAAATACCAGAGAGACCCAACAGTGTCGATTAGACAGTACCAGCCACTTGGGAATGACTTAGAGTACAGCCTTCCTGGCTCAGACATCCATGATCTTGGTCTTTGGCCCTGGACCAGCAGTGTCTTTAGAAGTGAGACCAATATGCCCAGGCCACTACCCCACTCACTTGATAAGCTCTAGGCGAAGGGGCTGCTACTAGAATTACCTTTGTGGGACAGACCAGTGATGAGAACTAGCTTTAGTTGCCTAGACAGGGTGCTCTGATACGATGTCCTGTTGGCATGACAGGGCAACAGTGGCATTGCCACACTGCCTGCTTCCTTCCAAGTACCAAGCAAAGAGTTCTTCAGGTATATGCTCTCCCATGGACATTGACACTGTCCTCTCTTCTCTTGGGGTTCAGTACGCTTCCCTGTGGTCTGTGGCATTGCCAGGCCCAGATGTAAGGCTCCAACCCAGCCTGTTCCCTTCTCTACACAGCTCCATGTTCTACGATGAAGATGGGGATCTGGCTCACGAATTTTATGAGGAGACAATCGTCACCAAGAATGGGCAGAAGCGAGCCAAGCTGAGGCGGGTACATAAGAATCTGATTCCTCAGGTGAGGGGGTTGAACAATCAATGGTCTTAAAGCCTACATCAGTATGTCATCGTAGATACAGATGGGGCTTTCTGGGAGAAGAGCTGGGAATAACAGGAAGGCTCTTAGTGTAGAGGCCCAGAGCTGATCTTCACTAGCCTCTATTTCCATGGCAGGGCATCGTGAAGCTGGATCCTCCCCGAATCCATGTGGATTTCCCTGTGATCCTCTATGAAGTATGAGCCTGTGGCATGGCAGACACAAGCACCCAGTGCCCCAGCAAGAAACTCCCAGGATCAAGGTGTAGCTTCCATTCAGGAGTCCAGGCTGGTGCCGCAACCCTGAATAAACTAAACTCCGTTGGCCCAGAACCTTCAGTTGTAAGAGGGACAGTCCCTCAGTGTTAACTGGTATTGGTTTATGTCTGAACAATAAGTGGTTGGTGGCTGACAAGGGCTAATGACAGAATTACCAGCCCGTCTCCCCCAACCACTTCTTCAAGAGGCATGGCAGGACACATGCTGGTCAGGAATGCCTGGTTCCTAGTTACTTGCCTGACCTGCTTTCTTCCAAGCTTGCCTAGGGCCCAGCCCTCCTAGAAGCTACAGCACTTTACAAGCAGAGTCTGCCTTCTTCCGGCCCCTGGGCTGTAGGGGCTCGACCCAAGTGGGAACTTCCTTTCCCTCACTCCCCTCACCCCTAGTCAGAGCATTTCAGCCGTTTGCTACCTCGATTCCTCCTGTATCGGACAGCCTGGAGATCTGTACCAGCCTCATCCTTCCTGCCTCCCTGCCACACGCTCCCACTCTAAGCTGGACACTTTGCTGGCTGTTAAATAAGAATGAGGACCAGTATGGGAGGCTACTCCTTTCACCCAGGGCTGGACTGATCTCTTTTGATTTCAACTAGTTTCCCTCAAGTTGAGAGGGTACAGGCCGGGGTCAGGACAGGCTACGGATGCCTGTGCCTGTGGGGACTTGCCCCAAACCATATATTCCATCGTCTCCCTTGTCTTTGCACCAGTCCCACAAATCCCCGGTTGTAGGGGAGAGGTAAGAAACAACTGGGGCTGGTGCCAGCAGCTATGAGGAGCCCATCCCCTCTTCTCCTACAGTATCTTTACCCCTTCAGGGTCTGTTAAGGGAAAGTACTGGAGCTCCTTGGTAAGGATAGAAAGGAGGGGAAAATACATAAAAGGCATAATTAAAATGTGAAGGTTTGTAAATAGTCTAGACTATGATAATGTTGGGGCAGAGTGTGATTTCTATACAGAGATGGCTTTAAAACGAATACTTATTTGTGGAAGCTCTGTGCTTCTGGAGTGTGGGAAATGGCTTGGGGAGTGACCCCCAGCATAGGAAGACTGTTGTGTTATTTGTTCAGTTTCAATAAAAATCATTTGTAGACCCTGCACATGAGAGTGGCTTCCAGTGAGGCTTTACCGTACAGTTTCTAGACTGTCACTTGAGCTGATGAGTAAAGCATTGAAGCCCTGGCTAGAAGACAGCGAGTCCGAACACTGCCTGCGGCAATACCAGCCATGGCCAACAGGTGGCTGTGTTCACACACCATCTCCAGCCCTCTCAAGATGCAGAGGGCCACTTACCTGTCTATTCTGTTTGGGAATCTGAAAACAGAAGGTCCTGGGATCCTTCTGGAGATTGCCCTAGCTAGCTGCCTTGCCTAAGGGGTGAGTGTAGCCACACATAGTTTTGGGATGGTTCTGGTCCCAACAGTACCATATTATCTGAAGTGAGGTTACAGCCTGTAAGCCCATAGACCTCAAAGGCCCAGTTACACTCGGACAACAGACACGTCCCACCATGGCCTCAGCCTCTTTCCAGGCTCTGAAGTCCACACTCACCTGACTTCCCAGTCAGCCATCAGAAGGGAGAGCTCAGGCTTCTGTTGCAGCTTCTGTTGTAAGGCTCTGCCCAACACTTCCTCAGTGCTCTGCTGCCCGTGGACATCCTACCTACATGTCTCAAAGTCTGCTACGAGCCAGTTCTCTGCTCGCCTAGCCTTTGACCATAATAAACTCAAGAAGTTAAAAAAAAAAAAAAAACAGTAACAAAACAACAAAAACCCTTCCAATAGGAAGGCAGAGTTCATCAACCAGGGTCAGGGCAGTTGGCCTTCAGGTTGCTCAGAGCTGGAACTTGTCAAGTCTTGAATAGGATTATCCTGTTCAGCATAGAGTTGCAGTTCTGTAAACCAACTGCCATCTCCTGGAATAAGCCAGGAGTTAGGCCCCTGTTGAGGGCCGCCTGTCCCGGAGCCAAGGCTCCCCATATCAGGCAGTATCCTATCTCTCCACCGCCATCCTGCCTGGGGAACTCCCTGTTCTGAACCTACCTAGCTAAGCCCAAAGCTATGAACAATAGAAGAGTCAGGGCAGTGTTTCCCACTCCATCCGGCTGGGCTGGGCTCACTTCCTTCCTGCTGGCAGCCTAAGGAAGTGTCCCTGCCCTGGACAGTCGCGCCTGGCCTTTGTTTTCCCAGTAGTCCCCACCCTTGGAGCTTCCTAGACTTTTGCCCCTTGTGTAGCAAACACAAGTGATTTCAGGGATGCTCCTGGGTAGGACACAGCCTAGGCTATACACCCAGTTTCCATACAGGTTTCTATCAGCAGAGGGACTCCCTAGCATTGGGGAGGTGAGCCTCTTGCATTATGAGTGAGGGGTGATTAGGTTGATTTGAGAGCAGGCAAATTTGCCTGGACCTCCAAAGATGTCTTCCAGGAATTCCTGTTGTGAGCTTCCTCTCCCAAAGGGACACACAGTCTCCCTGACCCCATATCACACAGCCACAGGCATCATTGTCACATTGTCTTTGTCACATTTCAGATACTTCCGCTCTCAATGGAAACAAAATTGACTCAGCTACTGGAAGAACCCACCACCCCCACCCCACCGGTTTTCCCCTCAGGCAGGATGGTTTCTTCTTTGGCACCTGCTCTAGGGGACCATTAGCTAAACAATCCAGTAGATTGTGTGACTCCCATGAATACAGCCAGCCACTAGGGCCCCCTCACGCCCTCTGCATTTGAGGATGATTCTCAAAACTTCAAGAAAGATAAGCCCTTGATTCCTAGGCCCATAGCCTTCCTATCACCTGGCACAACTCGTGGGGACCAGATCCTACTCAGAGGAAGGTTGCAAAGGGCAGCCAGCCACCAAGGGAAACAGGGTCAAGGGGTTCTCTTCCCCGCCCCCGGTTCCTGGCCCTTTTCCGCCCAGAGGCCAGCAGGAAATGAGGAGAAAGGGCAGGGATGGGAGGTGGGAGTGGGTGGGAAGGAATGGGGTTTATCAAATCCCCAGCAGACTGCCCAGAGGGCAACAGCTGGCGCAAGGAACCTGGCTGGAGAGGCTTTTCTCAGGAGGGAGGCCGCCGACCTACTGGGCCGACGGACTCCCACTCAGGTGAGCCCAGAGTACACCACATAAAGCTAATCCGTGCTGCCATGAATGCGCTCACTCCTGCGGTGCTCTCTAGCTTCCAGGCTTACGGGCGGGAAAGGGACTGGCGGCTAGAAGCGGGCTTTCGGAGAGTTGAGTCGTGCATTGGAGAACAGATCTAAGAGACGAGGGTACAGCTCTAAGCCTAGTCCCCATCGGAAGGGGATTGAAAGGCAGAAAGGTTCAGAATACGGAGTGGAGGTACTAGGGAGACACTGTAGCCTACTTGCCATGAAGTCAGGCCCGAAACTTCTGCGAATTGCAATTTGTTGAGTGGGTCCCCCTATGGACAACCATCCCACCTTCACCTCGTCGCAGACTGGTCCGGGGAAAATCCAGTGGATTGGCATGTCCTGGTGTGGATCCGGTGAAAGTGGCTAGACCACTTTCCCCTGTGGCCCGACTGAACTTTTTTAGTCCCTTTGGCAAAGCAGCGACCCAACCCCTGGTTACCAGGACAACCACTGCGCCTGCTTTGCCAAAGGAGTGCTCAGAGACCGTAAAAGGCCCCCTCCTCTAGACGGGCAAGGGGCGGGGCTTCCTTCTGACCGCAGACTAGCGGAGGGAACCAGGGCTCAGAGAATGGACATTAATGTTCCAAGAGGTTCTAGATCCACGCGGGTCAAAATCTCTTACACTAGACAAAGGGCCCACATTGCTAGAGTCCATATTCAGACAGGTGGGATTGAACCCGCAGCTACCCCCAGTCAAGACTTCAGCTATAAGCCTTTATTCCAAATGTCTTTACCACCGCCACCCACTCATTCCGCGCGTGCCCGCCCCATCCAATGTTCTATCCCTTTAAGAGGCCAGCTGGAAAGAGTGGATTGTTCCACTGACGACAGATTGTGGGGGTAATGTCTCAGGCTGGTTAGCTCTCGTGGCTAAGACCAGCGGGGATACCCATTCCAGGAGGTACTAAACCTCAGATAGATGACTATGTTCCTCTACAGAAGATCTAAGGGTGCTCGAACTCGAAATGCAGCACTAACAGAAAGGAAGGCGGACACACCCTCCCTACGAGAAGGCAAATCCTGCCATCCACCCCGCCATCCTCCCTCCGAGCCAGGCTTCTTAAAGGGCCCGTGGACCTCGGGGCGGAGCCAACAGAGGCTCGAGCTGGGGCAGTGCTTGGGCGAAAGGCCGGAGCGGGCTTGGCTGGTACCAGGATGGCGGCGGCCCTGGCGTGGGTCCTGGTGGCGCCTGGTGCGAGGTGAGGGCGGGCGTTGCAAGCCTGGTGACTCTCTCCCTGTGAGCTGAGCTCTGAGTCTTTAGGGGCGCCCTCATAAGTGACCCAGGAACCCCACCCCCACCCGGCTCAACTCTGGCCCCACGTGCGGGGCGGGGGCGGGGTCCCGCACAAAGACCGGAGTGGAATACTCTCTGCCCTGGACCCCTTGTGCTGGGAGGTAAGGGTGTGAGCCGGTCGCGAGTGTTCGCACAGATCCTTGGTGGCTGTGGTTGGAAGGGCCGGTCGGCGAGTACCGCGGTGGGAAGTCCGCTGCTCCTTTGTCCCCGGGGCGCCTCCTCCTAACCTAAGAGGGTGTCGGTGCCTAAGACTTAAGTCCTGACGTTCTCATTTTCTGCTTGGCGCATATTGCACAGATACCAGTTTCTCTGCAGTGTTCCTAACAGCTTCCCAGCTTCTGTATGCGTTGTTCCCGAATGTTGCCCCCTTTCAGAATCAATTCTGAGTTCGTAATGGGGGTGGGGGACATGGGGTGGTATAGGGTGGAACTTGGGTTCAGGTGTTCTAAAACTATTTACTGTATGGTATACAGGCATGTAAGTGACTGTAAAAGTGAGCCGGTAGCCTAATCGGGCCCCTTTTTCCAAAGGGACACAGACCTAAAGGAGGTGGGATCGTTGTCCATGGGGGACCCACTCAACTCCAAATAAAAGTGCAATTCGCAGAAGTTTCGGGCCTGACTTCATGGAAAGTAGGCTTCAGTGTCTCCCTAGTACCTCTGCTCCTTAAAAGGTTGCCTTTCCCAACCACAGGTAGCTCCCTGCTCTAGAAAGAACTTTGTGGTTTTGGTAGAGTCCCTAAGGTCTCTTCCCTACCCTTCAGCATCCTGCTATCTCCAACCCGTTACAACCTTGGAAGTCTGAGCAGGAACACGGTGTGCCACACAGTATGGGTTTCAGGAGTTTACATGGGATTAAGGTACATACACGTCTCTAGAATTCTCTAGACTGAATTGTTCTCTCCCATACTTTCTTCAGTTCCTGAGCTGCTACCAGGCAGGTGACGCTTCCTGTAGCCCCCAGCATGCGGGCAGGACTGGGTCCCATCATCACACTGGCCCTAGTGCTGGAGGTAGCATGGGCCACAGAGCTTAAGCCCACAGCGCCGCCCATCTTCACTGGCCGAGCCTTTGTGGTAGCATGGAATGTGCCCACACAAGAATGTGCCCCACGCCACAAAGTGCCGCTGGACCTCAGTGCCTTCGATGTGGAGGCTACCCCCAATGAGGGTTTTTTCAACCAGAATATCACCACCTTCTACTACGACCGGCTAGGCCTGTATCCACGTTTTGATGCAGCTGGGATGTCTGTGCATGGTGGTGTGCCTCAGAATGGCAGTCTCTGTGCACACCTGCCCAGGCTGAAGGCATCTGTGGAACGATACATTCAGACCCAGGAGCCTGGGGGGCTGGCAGTCATTGACTGGGAGGAATGGCGGCCTGTATGGGTTCGAAACTGGCAGGAGAAGGATGTGTACCGACAGTCTTCACGCCAGCTGGTAGCCAGCCGACACCCTGACTGGCCATCAGACCGAATAGTGAAGCAGGCACAGTATGAGTTTGAGTTCGCTGCTCGGCAGTTCATGTTGAACACACTCCGTTACGTCAAGGCAGTCAGACCTCAGCACCTGTGGGGCTTCTACCTCTTCCCTGACTGCTACAATCATGATTATGTACAGAACTGGGAGACCTACACAGGCCGCTGTCCCGATGTGGAGGTGGCACGGAACGACCAGCTGGCCTGGCTCTGGGCTGAGAGCACAGCTCTCTTTCCCTCTGTGTACCTGGACGAGACACTGGCATCCTCCATACACAGCCGAAACTTTGTCAGTTTCCGTGTTCAGGAGGCCCTTCGTGTGGCTCACACCCACCATGCAAACCATGCCCTCCCGGTGTATGTCTTCACGCGCCCCACATACACCCGAGGACTCACAGGACTTAGCCAGGTACGTGTTCTTCCTTCCTCCGTGAGCCACTGCGTGCTTGGGTTATCAGGGACCAAATGTATTATTCAACATCTGTTTTAATCTTGTGGAAGGGTGATGTCACCCCCATTCTGTAGATGACAGACCCAGAGGTGATGAGAATTAGCCAAGAGCCTCTAGAAAGTCCATGAAAAGTACACAGAACTAAGCCAGTCATCCTAACTTTGGATTTAGAATGTGTAGCCCTTGACTTTGCAGGCTCATGCATGAGTAGCCCTTGACTTTGCGGGCTCATGCGTGGGCTCTTAGCTTTGGAGACTAAGGTCCAAGGTAAGGATAGAAATGGGTAAAGCGGCCTGTGCCTGCCTAGAGCTGTCCTAAGGTCAGCAGCAGGTTAGAGCAGGTCTGTTCTGAATCTCCTGTGGTACTGTCTGGTGTCAGTCTTCCTCAGTAACCATCCCTTCCCACACAGATGGACCTTATCTCTACCATTGGTGAGAGTGCCGCCCTGGGCTCAGCTGGTGTCATCTTCTGGGGCGACTCAGTGTATGCTTCAAGTATGGTAAGGGGGACCCACCTGGGCTGCCAAAACTGCTGGGGAATGTATACTTTGGCTTCCTCCCTCACTGGGTATACAGACTGAGTATAGCTTATCTCCTAAGCATAGAGGCTTTGTCACTAGACTCAAGAAAGAAGGGCACCCCCACCCTGTTCCCAGGAAGAGGAAATGCTGTCCTCAACAGCTGGAGTTCCACCCTTCCTCATCTACACAGCTGGGCTCCAGTCTGTCTCAACCCTGCATCTCACTAGGGTCAGGGGACTGTAAAGGCTCAGGAACTCTTGTGTATATGATGTGTATATATACGCATAAGTGTACCGGGGTGTGCCTCAGGAGAGTACTTGCCTAGGCTAGGGTTCCAACTCCACGACTAGCAAAAGGAAGGGGTGCTATCACCACAGTATAGACAGTTTCTATCAGGGCTTTGGACAAAGGCAGTTAACATCAGATGTTCACTTCTTGGCCTCTTCCTCCAGGAGACCTGCCAGTACCTCAAGAATTACCTAACACAGCTGCTGGTCCCCTACATAGTCAATGTGTCCTGGGCTACCCAGTATTGCAGTTGGACCCAGTGCCATGGCCATGGGCGCTGTGTGCGCCGCAACCCCAGCGCCAATACCTTCCTGCACCTCAGTGCCAGCAGCTTCCGCCTAGTGCCTGGCCATACGCCCAATGAACCCCAGCTTCGACCTGAGGGGGAGCTCAGCGAAGCAGACCTCAACTACCTGCAGACGCACTTTCGCTGCCAGTGCTATCTGGGCTGGGATGGCGAGCAGTGCCAACGGAAGTATAAGCGGGCAGCTGGAAATGCCAGTAGAGCCTGGGCTGGATCCCACCTTACCCGTGTGCTGGGTTTGGTAGCGATGGCTCTCACCTGGACCTTATAAGGGATCTCTACCCTGGACATCAGTCCAGCTGGCCTCTGGTGCAAGGATCTCCTTGGCATGAGGAGCCTGTTAGGGATCAGACAGATGAGTCTGGAGCGGGCAGTGCCCCCCAGGATGCCTAGCAGAGCATCCATACAACTTACCACCCCCCTGTTCTAAGGGGGAGAAAAACATCTCCTGAGATGCCCTCATCTTGCCAGAGAAGGCGGAGAATACAGCTAGGCCAGGGAAGGCCTGACTCTACTCCCTGCTCCTGGATAGTTTATAATTTTGGGGTCTCTTTTGTAAATTAAATATAAAACAACTCCTGTGATTCTTGTTTTTTTTCTGCTTCGGGGTTAGTGTGTGTGAGAGCTCAGGGCTGTCCATGAGGCGGAGCTCAGCTCTCTGAATGTGTATCCTGGAACTTCTCAGGGATGTGTTCACTGGGGCCTAGGGCAGAAGAGCTACTGAGTGCAGTTGTGCTGGGCCAGGGGCTCACTAGAGTAGGATTCATACTCTACCCTAACACCAGCTCCACTTTATCTTGATAGAAATAGAGTTGGGCCCACCATTGTATGACTGATAGAGTAGCTGTGTATCTTCTGCCTGCCCCAGTTCCCCAGGCAGGGCCAGCACCAGCTTCCTTGTCTCAACCACACAGAGAAAGGGGACTTATCTTCCCTGATGTTCCTGCTGCTGAGCTTTTCTGTTCCCTGGTCCCAAGGGCAGCAGACTTCCTCCTCTCCCTGTCTGGGTCACACCTTTCCCTTGGGTCTAACAGGTAAGAAGGCTGTCATGGGATTGAGCTGTCAGTCTTGAGCTTCAGTCTGTCACTGTGTGGGTGTCCGGTGGTGCTGTTGGGAACTATCCAAATCTGAGAAGCAGGGTCATCCTCAAAGGTCAGCTTTAGAGCCAGAACGTACGTGTGTGTGTGTGTGTGTGTGTGTGTGTGTGTGTGTGTGTGTATGTCTTCTCTTCTCTTCTCTCTTCTCCCCTCCCCTCCCCTCCCCTCCCCTCTCGTCTCTTCCCTCCCTTCGCCTCCCCTCCCCTCCCCTCCCCTCCCCTCCCCTCCCCTCCCCTCCCCTTCTCTCTCTCTCTCTCTCTCTCTCTTTCTAATGGGCATTTCAGAGGAGAGAAACGGTAGCCAGGGCATTTGGAGCAGCTCTGAGCTGTTAGGCCTGCCTCTGACATCCTTCACTCAGAACCACTAGGGTGTCAGGGTGACTCCTTCAGTCCTGCCCTCGGGAAATATAGTGGCTCTGTAAGTGCTTGCTCTAGGTCCTGAGTTCACTCATCGGAACCAGAAAGTGAGTGAGGGCAGCCAACAACCATGTAATGTGGAGGAGGGAGAGGAAGATCAGGAATTCAAACCCAGCCTTGGCCAGGAGACCAGCCTGAACTATATGAGTCCCTGTCTTAAAAAAAAGTAAGCCAGGAGGAGTAGGTAAAAGGCATTTGCCATCAAGCCTGGTGACATCCCTAGACTCCCTAGAATTGTCCTCTGATCTCCATACACACCTTGTGGCATCCATGACCACACATACAAATCCAGAAATAAAGCCAGGTTAATCCCATCACATGGGAGACAGAGGCAGGTGGATCTCTCAGAGTTTGAGGCCAGCCTGGTTCTTAACTTCCAGGACAGCCAGGGCTGTTATTACACAAAGAAACCTTGTCTTGAGAAAAATAAGTAAATAAATCTAACAAAAAGTTTGAGACTAGAGTCTCACTATGCAGCCCTAGCTGGCTTAGCACTCACTATGCATAGATGAATCTGGTCTTGAACTCAGAGATCCACCTGCTTCTGCCTCCCATGCACTGGGATTGCAGGCCTGTGCACACCAGACTTAATTTAAAATCTGAAGAAGGGGCTGGAGAGATGGCTCAGCGGTTAAGAGCACTGACTGCTCTTCCAGAGGTCCTGAGTTCAAATCCCAGCAACCACATGGTGGCTCATAACCATCCGTAATGAGATTGGATGCCCTCTTCTGGTGTGTCCGAAGACAGCGACAGTGTACTAATAAAATAAATAAATAAATAAATAAAATCTGAAGAAGAAAAACCAAAAGCAATGGAGTTTACCAAGGGATGGCAAGGACTAGGGAGACCTCTTATCTTTCCCATGCCTGTGACTCACCCTGTTGTAACCTTTTCTATCCAGCCATAACCTCAATGGTACCTGTCAACCTTCTATGAACATTGACTCCTCAACATGTATGGATACACACGCAACTGTTGGCCCAAAAGTGGGCATGTGGGGACAGAAGAAACATTGGCACCTTCTCCATGCATGTAATCTGTCCCACAACGTTGTGCCCTATGCTTACCTAGCTATGAAATCTCTCTTGGTGCAAATCATGTCCACCACTTCACATTTCTCCCCCTGAAACCCTGGGGGTTGGGGGGAGAAATTATGTAACTACTTCCTCTAACTTGAAACATTCCCTCCAAGAAGGCTGAACAAAGCACATAAAATTCAGAAAGAGGCCATGGCAGCAGCGCACGCCTTTGATCCCAGGACTCTGGAGGCAGAGGCAGGCAAATCTCTGAATTTAAGGCCAGCCTGGTTCCTGAGTTCCAAAACAGAGAAACCCTGTCTCAAACAAACAAATACCTCAGAAAGCTAAGGAAACTTCCAGTGCTCCAGAGGTTCTAGAAGTTAAAGATTTGGGTGGGCGAAATGGCTCAGAGTGTCAAGGCATGTGAGGCCTGATGACCTAAGCTACCCAGAATCGGGGTGACAGAGGGGAGAACTGACTTTCACAGGCCTTCCACTGACCTGTTTGTATAAATTTGTGAATATATGTCACCTCTGTGTCAGAAGGGGATGTCAGAGACTCTGGAACTAATTGTAAGCCACTTGGCATGGGTGCTAAGAACGGAACTTCAGTCCTTTGGAAGAGAATTTTCTTGACCATCAAAAAAAATTATATATATATATGAAAAATATTCTAAAATTATTTAAAAATTATAAGATTCACAAGGCCCCTCTCCAAAACTAAAAAGCAGTAAATAATTGCTGGAGAGGTGCTACCTACAAGTTGACAAGCTATACCAAGACTATAGTTTTTGTGAATTGTTCTGGCGCTAGGGTAGGCCTTTTGGTGATGCAGCTGTCTTTGAGTCTCCCATGCTTCTGTAAGTAGCCCTCCAGTAATGTGTCCCCTCAAAACCTCATTGGTTCACCAAGCTAGACTTAGAATCAGTTCTCTCGCCTGTTGTCAGAAGTCTGTCTGGAATGAACAGAAGTTTGTTCACACTTCATTAGAAAAAGTCACATGACACCAAAGACTCCAAGGGCTAGAGGAAGGGTCAGGGTAAGAAGGTGGGGTAGATCAAAGGCTCTAAGCAAGCAAGCCAGAGAGACCACGCCCATATGGTAGCCCCACTGTGAATGCCAGAGCCCAGTAGTCATTGAGTAAGGAGTGCAGTGATTCAGGATCAGACACAGCTGCAGGCCCAGACACCATTTCATCCTGGGCAGGGCCATCTCCTCCCCTCTCCTATTTTCTCAACCTTGTCAGGCCAGTCCAGGCCTGAGCACCCAGCAGATCTCAGTAAGCACCCTGTGATTCAGTGAACTAGTAACTCACAAATGCAGGAACACACATGTTCCCTATGCGTGTGCTCACTAATACACCCCTCATTTCCATGGTCATGCAACTCCAGGGTCTCATGATCACCAGACAGCAAGGTCTTGTACATGATCCCAAGCACTGGGTCCCACACTTGCTTGTATAAACTCCTGGGAATTTGGGCAGTAGCCCAGTTACCAACTAGAGCTTCACAAAGATGCAATCACTGACCTAGAATATACAGAGCATGATGATACAACTCAACTTCATGAACACAGAACCTCCCAGAAACAAACAGGGACAGTTTAACTATTAGGCACTGACAGGATTAAGAGTCCTGTCTAGAAATCCACAAAAGGTTTTTTTTGGTTGGTTGGTTGGTTTGTGTACTTGTGCGTATGTGTGTGTGTGTTATTGTGCTGTGTGTGTGTTGTGTGTGTGTAGTGTTTATGTACATGTATATGTGGCGTAAAAAGGTCAATTCAGTGTGTTTATTGCTTTCCACATTTTTTTTCTAAGGTAGAATTTTACATTTACTTGTATGTCGGTGCAGGCATGTGCTTGGGTGGCAGTTGTAAGAGCTGTCATGTGTGTCCCAGGGACTGAACTCAAGTGATATATTTTAAAATGCCTTTTTGAAGGGATTAGGGATGGAGCTCAGAGACAGAGCACTTGGCTAGCAAGCATGAAACCCTGGATCCTGTTCCCAGCCCAAAACAAACAAGCAAAAACAAACTGTCAGAGTAACGCTTTTATATACTGTATGAAGATATGTCTCTGACCTTTCTTGCCTGCCTAAGGCAAAAACAAACAAAAGCCCAACTGGTTCTAATGAGAAGGGGTCCCACAAAGACAAAAGTGCCTAGGGCCTAAAATGTCACAGCGATGTGGAGAAAGTACTCTAGAAACAGGTAGTTCTCAGGGACCACACTGCAGGACCACACATTTGCTTGCCCAGTTCTGTGTGCAGCTGTCCACACAAAGACCTCTCCAAGTGTTGTCTGAGTAGGAGGGGCTGTTGCTAGTCCAGCCCCAGCCCCGCCCCATGCCAAGGCCTGCCTATTGGCTGGGTGGTCCAAAAGCTCAGACTTTCCCTGAACAGCAGCAGCAGCAACAGCAGCAGCAGCCTCTCTAAGCTGGTGCAACTAGGACCAGCTTGTGGGGCAGAATCCAGCCGAGCCATGCTTGGGCTGACACAGCATGCTCAGAAAGGTTGGAGAATGAAGCCCTTTAGTCCTGAGGTCAGCAGGGACGAGTGGGTGGCTGGAGGGTTCCAGGGCTGGGCTGGTTTTGGCCACTGGAGCATCCCTTTTCCCAATGGCTGCCAGTTTTTCTGGTGGAAGAAACAGAAAAGCCTCCTCCCTTGTTCACCAGGTCAGCCTGGGACTGAGGGCCCAGCTCTCAGCTCCTCTTTCAGGACAGATGTAATGGTTCCTCTGGCCCTTGGGGGGAAAGTGGGTAAGATCAGGCCAAAGCAAAGCTTGGGGGAAGCAGATGGCAGGTTTCTGGCCACAAAGGCGACTTACTTGTACCTTTCATGACAATGCTCCTTTCCAAGCCTCTATTCTACTCTCTGACCTTGCTGAGTCCTGCAGATCAAATGTCTAACTGAAATCTCAGCAGGGACAAAATTATGATCAAGGGACTGGACCCAGCTACTTCAAGTGGGGGTCAGAAAGTCTGAGATACGCCTTGAACTCTGCCTCCCTCGGCCAGGTTTCACCAGACCCATCCCCTGCCACCGCAGCCCACCTGCTTCACATCTGTACTCTCCTCCTGACCTTGCTCGAGTTGGCCCAAGGCTCCAGAGGTTCCATGGTATCCAAGCGGCCGTTCATCACTGTTTGGAATGGAGACACTTATTGGTGCCTGAAGGATTATGGGGTGGATGTGGATGTCAGTGTCTTCGATGTGGTTGCCAACAAGGAGCAGATTTTCCAAGGCCCTAACATGACGATTTTCTACCAGGAGGAGTTGGGCACCTACCCCTACTATACCCCCACCGGGGAACCCGTATTTGGTGGTCTGCCCCAGAATGCCAGCCTGGTTACCCACCTTGCTCACTCATTCCAGGACATCAAGGCTGCCATGCCAGAACCTGACTTCTCAGGACTGGCAGTCATTGATTGGGAGGCTTGGCGCCCACGATGGGCCTTCAACTGGGACAGCAAGGACATTTATCGGCAGCGCTCATCGGAACTGGTCCGGGCAGAACACCCTGACTGGCCAGAAACTTTAGTGGAGGCAGTAGCCCAAGACCAGTTCCAAGAAGCTGCACAGGCCTGGATGGCAGGCACCCTCCAACTGGGGCAGGTACTGCGTCCTCGTGGCCTCTGGGGCTACTATCGCTTCCCTGACTGCTACAACGACGACTTTCTAAGTCCCAACTACACGGGCCAGTGCTCATCAAACATCCGTGATCAGAATGACCAGCTAAGGTGGTTGTGGAACCAGAGCTATGCCCTTTACCCCAGTGTTTACTTGCCTGCAGCACTGATGGGTACAGGGAAGTCACAGATGTATGTTCAACACCGTGTGCAAGAGGCGTTCCGCGTAGCTATAGTTTCCAGAGATCCCCATGTGCCCATATTCCCCTACGTCCAGATCTTCTATGAATCAACAGATCATCTTCTGCCCCTGGTGAGTCCTCTGTTACCTTGCCAGCCTTCCTTGTTAGGTAACATGGTAATAGGTCCCACTTAACTTCAGGGTATTACTCTCTTTGGGAAAGGTGGGGGAGGTTCTTGGGGCTTTGTCCAAATTGTTTTACTACTGACTTAAATACTCCAGGGCTTTGTCCATTCATTCCACCACACACAGAACATCTACTTTATGGTAAATTCTGTGTGAAGCATGAGAGATTCCAAACAGGGAACAGGCTTGCCCCTGGCCACCAACACTAGAGTAGCCTCAGGTGAAGGTTAGAGTTTATTTGTCCCATCCAGTGATGTGACAGCAGTTCCCACAGGGAAGAAGGACACTAGGCTTCATACAACTGTGCAATCTCTTTCCCAGGAGGAGCTGGAGCACACCCTGGGGGAGAGTGCAGCCCAGGGAGCAGCAGGAGCAGTACTCTGGATGAAGTCAGAAAAAACAAGTACCAAGGTAAGTGGAGGCCTGGAAGTAGGGTAAGGATGAGGAGAAACTGGCTTCCTCTCTCTCCCTCTGATGTCCTGGCTAAGCACCAGGCAAGCACGTAGCTGTGGTCATGCTTACGTTCTCCTCCCACTCAGGAATCATGCCAGGCTATTAAAGCATATATGGACTCCACACTTGGGCCCTTCATCGTGAACGTGACCAGTGCAGCTCTTTTGTGCAGTGAAGCTCTGTGTTCCAGCCATGGTCGCTGTGTCCGCCATCCCAGTCATCCCAAGGCTCTTCTCACCCTCAACCCTGCCAGTTTCTCCATTGAGCCAACACATGATGGCAGGCCCCCGAGCCTCAACGGTACCCTCTCACTTAAGGATCGGGCGCAGATGGCTATGAAATTCAAGTGTCGATGCTATCGTGGATGGAGTGGCAAGTGGTGTGACAAGCAGGGTGTGTGGTGATTGGCTCCACCATAAGGCACACACTGAACACCTGACACACCCAGGACCTACCTATGACTTCCTCAAATACAATCACATGCCCACAAGTCACAGTCACGAGTACACTCAACAACGGTCATGGCCACATGCACACAGGCACAGTCACGGGGATAGTCACACAGTGAGTCAGAATTTAGGACAGGCACTATCAATTCTGTGCCTACAAGGACCTAACCTAATCATAAGCAGGATCATAGGCAATTCCTCCAGAATCTATGAGTCTGCAGACACAAAAGGTGGCATTTGCTGTATGTCAGCTCTGTGCCAAGCTCTGTGCCAAGCAAGCACTAGAAGTGGGCTAACTCATTCAGTCTTTACAACTGGCATGCAGGGAAGCTGAGTCCTTTTTTTTTTTTTTTTTTGGTTTTTCGAGACAGGATTTCTCTGTGTAGTCCTGGCTGTCCTGGAACTCACTCTGTAGACCAGGTTGGCCTCAAACTCAGAAATCCACCTGCCACTGCCTCCCATGTGCTGGGATTAAAGGTGTGTGCCACCACTGCCCGGCTTAAGTACTTTTTATTAACTTACTCTTGCTGTGCTGGGAATTGAATTTAGGACCTCATGCACACTAGGCAAGTGCTCTAACACTAAACTATATTCCCAGAAACTGAGGGTGCATACTTTCGGTCCAGTGTGGCCCAGCAAGAAGTGACAAGCAAAGCCAGGCATTGATGATGCACACCTTTGATCCCAGCACTTGTGGGAGGCAAGGCCAGCCTGGTCTACATATTGAGCTCCAGGACAGCCAAAACTACATGGAGAGACACTGTCTCAGACCAAACCAAAACAAACAACCAGGAGAGATGCATATTGAAATCTAGGCTATCTAGCTCCAAAGATAGAACCTTGCATACCTACTGCGTATTGATGGTGTCCTAAGAGGGCTGGGGAACCATAACAGCATCACTCTACAGAATCCCTGAATCTGCTCAGAGTATTAGCATTACTCAACCCAGCAAACAAAGCTGTCCTATATTACTTAGCTGTTTAATTAGCTCCTAAAATAGGCAGGTCTCAGAACCCAGAAGGCACTGGAAAGTCTCTATACTTTCACCCGGTTATGTTGTCTGAAGACGACTGCTTCCCATGACCACGTGAAAGTTCCACCTGATCAGACCATTTCCACCGACTCACTAGGACTGGAGATGGACGCTACTAGAACGGAAACAAAATGAAACTCCCATTTCTTCAAGCTTGGAGCTGGGAGAGGTGCAGGCGGAGCTGAACACAGGCAAGCGCTAGAAGCCGGAGGCCGAGCCAAGAGGAGGCGGAGCCAACGAAAGGAAACTACGGCCTAGTCGCCACCGGAAGGGAAGAAGCCCGGGACAGAATGGGCCTACACTAGTTCTGTTGTGACGCTCAGAACCACGGGCGGGGTGTCTAGGTAGTGACATTCCGGGCACTGAGAACTTAGGAGGAGGTGAGCTGTCTCCTGCGAAGACTGCAGTGAGTACTACGTACTGCTGAGACCAGCGTAGGCAGACCGAGGAGTTGGAACCAGAGACAGCAAGTTACCCAACCGTGCGCAGGCAGGACGCGGAGCATCCCGGAACTCAGCTTTAACATGTCAGTATCACCCTCACTTCTCACATGCCGCCCGTTTATCCTCCCCGCGCCTGTGGTCCCCAAGTTACTGTGTCGCTCCTCAAATCATCCCAGTGTTGCCCTTTCCCTTAGAGCTTGCTGAGCCACACCCACCCATAAACAGGCTCTTAAAACCCCCACCCTCAAAAAATCTATGTCCTGTGTCCCACAAGGGGCAGGTGCAGACCCCCCCTGAAGATCCGGAGCTTTGCTCTACCTACAGTGGTGGGGTTCGCAATGAAGGGGTTAAACCTTTCTGGGGAACCCTGGTGCTCTGAGCTAGGGGCGGACCCTGGAGTTCCTCCTTCCAGACCTTAGAAGGCGTGGGAGCCGGGGAGGGGGTCTGCATCTGCTGAGCCAACTGAGGCAGGTAAGAGGCTTAAAGCCCTGTGTGTGGGGTTTGTGGGGTATGGGGAAGAGGGCTGTGCTCAGACTCAGGGAAAGTTGGGAAAGGGAGTCGTCAGGAGGCACTTTCTAGAGTAAATGAGTAAAGGAGCAGGACCCAGCTGTCTGTCCACTGTAAGAAATTCCCCAACATAGACCCACCTGCCAGCAGATCCTAGAATAAGGTAGGTAAACAGTGAGGTTTACAGCTGGAGCATTGTGGCCCACAACTTTAACCCCAGCACTAGAGGCAGAGGCAGGCAGATCTCTGTGAGTTCAAGTGGCCTACAAGTGAGTTCCTGGACACTCAGGTCAGTTACACATAGAAACCCTGTCTCAAAACACAAAAACAAAAAAAAACAGTGGAGTTTCAGCATGGAGGCCTGGGTCCCCAACCTAGTGGCCGTTGGACACCTGTAGATTTAGGAAGGAAGCCATGGTCCTTATCAGGGTAACTATGAAACTCTGACCAGAGGCAAGCAGACTTGCAAAAGCCACATTATGTGTGATGGGCCAAGCTCCAGGATGGTGGCATCAGAGCCCCATATATAGGGACAGGTGGGTCCAAGTCCAGAGTGTCCTGACTTGGACAGAATTGGAGCGGAGGACCATGAGTGTAGTGTTGTGTCCTGAGGAAGGAAGGCAGTAGAGGGAGGGAAGCTGAGCCTGTTTGGGGTGAGGGTGAGTGTCCCAGGAGCCACTTGACGGCCGGTGGGTATGGCTCAGATAGCTGAAAATGCTCAGAGTTTGAGGAGAGCTGATGGGGGGGGGGCTCGTAGGAGTGGTCTTCTGTAAAGGAAAACTCAGGTGGGGGCAAGCTAAAGGTATGATGTCTGTTTTACACTGCCAAAGCCAGCAAGCTACAGTCCTGGGCTGCTAGGAGGCTGAGGCACTTAGGTCACTACTTGGAGGCAAACACAGGCTACATACCATGGGGTAAGCCCAAGCAAAAACAAAAGATGGTGAGCAAGTGAGTTAGGTTGGCTAGCCTGGCATGATGAGGTGTGGCAAATGATAAGAGATTTGCAGTCAGAGCTTCTGGGTTCCAGCCCAGCCTTCAGCACTTCTCCTTACCACCAGCTTCCCTCCAGTGTTGGGGCAGGACACTCACCTAGTCTCCTTGAGTCCTCACAAGTGTAGGGCTGGCTCTCCTCCAGACTTTCTTTCAAGTACTTTTCAAATACTTGCCTCTACTTTCAAGTGCATGTGGGACAAGGTGAAGCACACTGCCCCCCAATTCCAGGATGCATGTCCCCCCTCCACTAATCCGTCCTTCCCTGCCCCAGCTATGTCTTCCTGACACAGTCTAGCATGGCTGTTATGCTCTTATGTAAGGAGATGCCACTGCCTGGAGACTGTGGCCTTACCCTCCAGCCAGGCACTAAGCCATCTGAAACCTAACAGAAAGTGACCTTGGCTTCCTGCCTGACACAGCTGAGCCTGGATCCTACCTGTAGTCAAGAGCTGACTCTGAGGCCTGGCCCAGTCAAGCTGACCCCTACCTTAGACCCTGTGCACCGGATGGAGCTGACCCTGAGTACCAGCCCAGCAAAACTGACTCTAGATCCTGCATGCCAGCCAGAGTTGACCCTGAGACTCAACCTGACCAAGCTAACCCTGGATCCTGCACGCCAGCCAGAGCTGTCGCTGAGTCCCAGGCTAGCTGAGCTGACCCTGGAGTCCACATGCCACCCAGAGATGAGCCTCAGTCCTGGCCCAGCTGAGCTTACCCTGGATCCTCAACACCAGGCAAAGGAGATCCCAGTCCCCAAGCTGGCTGAATTGACCCTGGAGCCTGTACACTGCCGACCTGAGCTCCTGAGTGCCTGTGCTGACCTCATCAATGACCAGTGGCCCCGCAGTCGTGCCTCCCGTCTCCACTCCCTGGGCCAGTCCTCAGATGCCTTCCCCCTCTGCCTGATGCTGCTGAGCCCTCAGCCCACACCCGGAGCAGCCCCTATTGTGGTGGGCCATGCCCGCTTATCACGGGTACTGGATCATCCTCACAGCCTCTTAGTGGAGACAGTGGTGGTAGCCCGGGCTTTGAGGGGCCGTGGCTTTGGTCGCCGCCTCATGGAGGGCTTGGAGACCTTTGCCCGAGCCCGGGGTTTCAGACGGCTACACCTTACCACTCATGACCAGATATACTTCTATGCCCATCTGGGCTACCAACTGGGTGAGCCTGTGCAGGGTTTGGTCTTCACCAACCGTCGGCTGCCCACCACTGTCTTACGTGCCTTCTCTAAGCCACCCTGCCCCCAGCCACCCTGCAAAGGGCCTATCCTAGCTGCCCAAGTTGTCCCAAAGAGCTCTAAGGGACTCCATTTGCCGCCACCTCCTCCCTTACCCCAGTCTCTGACCACCCCACTGCCTCCCTCACCTGAGCCCCTTCCTCAAAACCAGCTAGAGACACGACATCGAGATCTGAAGGGGTGCCCTATATTCTGGATGGAAAAAGACATCTGATGGCCCTGTCTCTCTGGGACACTGGATTGCCCAGAACAGAGCCAGCCTCAGCCCACAGGCCATTCTTCACCCCCTGGGAACAACCTTAGCCTGTGTATCTTTCCTGGGTACCAGTGGGCCAGGAGGTGGCTCCAGAGCTTTGGCTCAGAGCTATCAGTGTGGCTAAATAAAGGCTTCCATTAGGTATGACTGTGACAATTTATTGGTTAACCCCCCTCCCAGATCCCCTTTGTCTGACAGAAACCTTACTACCCAACTTGGCCCAAGAGCCATTGATGAGGTAATATCTGTCTTTTGTGCCTCCTTTCCCAGGCCTGGGGTAACTGTTCTTTCCCCTTGGCCTCACTCATTACCACTCATGGAGCACTTCCACTGTGTCAGGTCCTGCACTGGACATAGGCAATAAGGAATCTGTAGACAGGCAAGGATGAGGAAAGTGGCAGGGCTCATGCTAGGAGCCCAGGTACCCTCACTTCCCTCAGGGATCTGGGAGAGAGCTCATGTTAGAGACCTGAGTGCTGAATACGGATTAAGTCAGGGAAGCAAGAAGGCAAAAAACTAAGTGTTCCTGAGACAGAGAGACAGTGTGGGCAGGGGAAGAATGGGGATTTATTACAGCCATGAGTCTGCAAGGCCTCAGAGAACATGATGGTGACCTGACAGAGATGGAGGATCCTGGAAGGGAGCAGCCCAGGATGCTAAGGTTATGGGTTCTCTGGGAGACTGTGGAATACTTGGAGGCCATATTTACCACCACCACCGCAGCTCTGTCCCATTCTCTGAAGAGAGTAATGAGGAAAGCTTTAATGGTTTTTCTTGCTGTGCAAAAGGCAGCATGTCTTTGGCTATGGACTCTAAGCCCATACCCCCTCTTTCCTGCAGGTGTCCATCTCTGTGGCATGACCATGCAGCTAGGGCTAACCCTGGTGGTGGGGTTGATCCTGTGCTTGGTGCATGGCCAGGCTTTGCTGCAGGTTCCTGAGCAGCCCTTTTCTGTGCTATGGAATGTACCCTCAGCAAGATGTAAGGCCCACTTTGGTGTGCATCTGCCTCTTGATGCCCTCGGCATCATAGCCAACCATGGCCAGCATTTTCATGGCCAAAACATCTCCATCTTCTACAAGAACCAGTTTGGTCTTTATCCTTACTTTGGACCGAGAGGCACAGCCCACAATGGAGGAATCCCTCAGGCTGTGTCCCTAGACCACCACTTGGCACAAGCTGCCCACCAGATCCTCCACAGCCTGGGATCTAGCTTTGCTGGCTTGGCAGTGCTGGACTGGGAAGAATGGTACCCTCTCTGGGCTGGGAACTGGGGCCCCCATCGACAAGTCTACCAGGCAGCCTCCTGGGCTTGGGCACAGCAGACATTCCCTAACTTGGACCCTCAGGAACAGCTCTACAAAGCCTATACTGGCTTTGAGCAGGCTGCCCGTGCACTGATGGAATACACACTGCAACTGGGCCAGACACTTCGCCCGCATGGGCTCTGGGGCTTTTATCGATACCCAGCCTGTGGCAATGGCTGGCATAATATGGCTTCCAACTACACAGGCCATTGCCATGCAGCTGTTATTACCCGAAACACCCAGCTGCATTGGCTCTGGGCTGCCTCCAGTGCTCTCTTCCCTAGCATCTACCTCCCACCCAGACTACCACCTGCCTACCGTCAGACCTTTGTACGACACCGCCTGGAGGAGGCCTTCCGTGTAGCCCTTGTTGGGCACGTGCATCCTCTACCTGTTCTGGCTTATGCTCGCCTCACACACCGGAGCTCTGGGAGGTTCTTGTCTCTGGTAAGTAGAAGCTGAGGTCTAAGATCTGAGTCCAGACAAACAGCCCTGCCCTAGAAAGACCTGAAGAGAAAACTTTTCCAAAGGGACTTGAAGGTAGTCATGATGTAGAGATTTTTAAAAAGACCCTATCCTCAGCCAGGCAGTGGTAATGCACACCTTTAATCCCAGTACTGGGGAGGCAGAGGCAGGCAGATCTCTGTGTGTTTGAGGCCATCCTGGTCTATAGAGCAAGTTCCAGGACAGCTAGGGCTACTCAGAGAAACCCTATCTTGAAAATCAAAACAACAAAAAGACCCTGTCCTGAAGTATGGAGGTATGGTTGTGTGCTGGGAGATCTCAGTGGTACCTGGTCTAAGGACAGTTATTCTCTGAATGGAAGTCCTAAGAAATTACTTAGAGGCTCTGTTAAAAGGACTCCTCTACTCTAGAGGCAGAATCATAGCCGTAAACCAAACACCATCATAGTAAAGTTAGGCCCTGATGGATCTGGCCAGTTGAGCTTTGGCTTAACAGCTGTCTGCCTGCAGGACGACCTGATGCAGACTATTGGTGTGAGTGCAGCCCTGGGAACAGCTGGAGTGGTGCTCTGGGGGGACCTGAGCTTCTCTACCTCTGAGGTGAGCATTGCCCCTTCACCATGCACATGCTGGAGACCCAAGATAGGGGAGAAGCCAAGTCATAGAAAAGGAGCATTGACCTATCTTTTTCTCTCTATAGGAAGAGTGCTGGCATCTCCATGACTACCTAGTGGGTACTTTAGGTCCCTATGTGATCAATGTGACCAAGGCTGCCATGGCCTGCAGTCACCAGCGATGCCATGGCCATGGTCGGTGTGCCCGGAAAGACCCAGGACAAATGGAAGCCTTTCTACATCTGCAGCCAGATGACAGTCTTGGAGCTTGGACGTCCTTCAGGTGCCGTTGTTACTCAGGCTGGGCTGGCCCTACCTGCCTGGAGCCTAAACCTGAGCCCAAGGAAACAAACTAAGAGGAGTTCCTGCCTTTGCTTCTTGACCCTGTTGCCACTTTCCCAGTCCTAGAGGAATTCCTGTTTATGCTTTGTTTAGCTGATGGAACTTTCCCAAGTACATATCCCACTAACACCAACACACCTTCCATAGGAATTCCTAGGGAATAGATAGGGCCTCATATAAAACTGGCCTCTGAGCCCTCTGAGATCATCTGACTTAAAGCAATAAAGAAGCTGTAGGGTTAGTTGCAGGCATTTAAGGTTACTGGCCCAGGGCTTTGTTCCTATACCCCAGCGTATCTATAGAGAAGTACTATCTAGGGGCAGACAACCCCTACACTTCTCCCAACAAACACACACACACAAATTAAGCTAAGATCTGTTAAATGCTAATCTATTTTCTGTATTCTCATCCATAAAGTCACTTCTTTAATTACTTGAAGTTTGTCTGTCCTCACTATTCTGCCTAGCGTCAAACCCTGGCACCTCAAAGCAGGTGCTTCATTATCAGGGCCTACAGATGCTTCTAGTGAGAAAGGAAACTACTGAGTTAACTATGAACCCAGATGCCGCGCGGGCGGGGATAGGGGAAGGAGGGGCGAAGTGAGTACGCAGGGCATTGTGGGTACATAGTTTAGCTGGAGCGGCGTCGGCTTATTTGTCTCCGGAATGGACTACTACTACCGTCGTGCACTGCGCGCAACTCGGGCGGTGCTAATATGTGTACACTGACGCCTGGGGATAGTAGTTTCGGCCGCGTGGATGTGGATCTGAACTTGGTGGCGGGGAACTCACCTTCCCAGCGACCCATTTGACAGGGCGGGGCGCCTCACGAAGATGGTGGCGCGCGCGGCGTGTGGCTCCAGTCGTCTTCGCCAGTCTCAGCTCAGCACACGGGCCGGCGTTTCGCTGGTTTGGAGTCCCAGCCCTCCGGGTCCCTGACCCCGCGCCCCCTTCCCGTGCCCCCAATTCCTGGTTCCAGGAATGCCTCGCGCTCGTAAGGGCAATGCGCTCCGCAAGGGCGGTCAGCGCCGTGGAGGAGGTGAGTCCGGGGGCTCCAGTAGAATTGTTCAGTAGTGCGGGGGTGTTCCGTGGTTCCCTTTCGATGTCATTGAGGGTCCTGAGTTGACGAATCTTCCCATATCAGCCCATCGTAACCTCCCAGAACTCTGCTAAAGCTCGCACGTGCCCCAGCTGGCACTGGCCACGTGTGCGCCTCACTTGAGCTCATTGCCAGCTGTTTTTCGAAATCCCGCGCCGCAATGGTGATTTGACCAACATTAAGGTCCTAGGTTTTCCCATCGCCACTGGGGTAGACAACCACACTAGAAAGAGCGTGAAGCCAGCCCTTTTGGCAAATAATAGTGCATTTGGTAGACTGCGTAAGGAAGTTAGCAGAGAGACCTTGTCTGTTCTGTAAAACAGGGAAGTGTGATTGGAAAGGTACAGAATTGAGGCCCTATCAATTGAACTGGAGTCCAGGTGGACATCCAAGAGCCCGAAGCAGTCTGGAGCCTTCTTATCAGCCTCAACCAGAAGCGTGTCCTGTTGTGGTAAACAAGTAACTGCTGAGAAAGAGTGCCTGCCGAGCATGTTTTTTACCTGACTGCCACCCTAATGTGGCTTAGGTCTAGGGACATTTAATAGGGTGGTGACAGTTACACAAGGACTAGTACTGAAAGCATTTACTGAGTGGTCTTAGAATCATGGCAGGCCCTGTGAGGGGAGCTTCTGGATGAGACCTGAGAAGGTAAACAGCCTCCTGTAGAGAACCTGTTGCGCAAAGGCCTGGCAACCAAAGGGACCACAATACAGTGCAGCAAATGAGAACGTCTGGGCGGTTCTGACAAGTAGGATCGTAAAAGAAGAAGTGAACAGAAATTAATGTGTGGGCTGAACTTTTTCCTATAAGCAAGTAATGTTAGTGGTCCCTAAGGTGTAAGGACTGCTACTGGGTCAGGACCTGTCCAGGGCACCTACCAGAAGCTACCCTATTCAAAGCCAGTCCTCAGCCCTCGATAGAATTCACACACGGTGTGTTCCTGCCCTTCTGACACTTTGAGAGTCCCTATGTTTACTTTTTTCAAATGCTCACACGGTCAAGAACTTCTTCTGGTCTTCCAAGGCTAAGGAGGTACCATTGTTTCTATACCTAAAGTTGGTGGCCCTGAGTGGACCAGAGGAAGCTCAGAAGACAATATATTTGTAACACAGAGTGCCCAGCACACCCACTGGGACCTGGGCCTCTGCTGCTCCCAGAGTTGATAGCATCGTGAGTGTGGTGACCTGTAGCCTCCGCTACATTGCAGGTTACTTGCCTTTACCTGCCACTCCTGAGAGGTGAGCTTTGTCCTCCATACTTAGAGGCTGGGCAACTGATCCAATTATCCCTCTGGTAAAATGAGGAGGCGCAGGGGCACTAATGGTACAGCACAATGGAGAGCATAAGACCTTGGCTCAGTTTAAACCCCTGAGTCTGTCTAGAACTATAACCTGATCCCTAACCTTTACATTATCTTCTACATTAACCTTGGCCCTTGGACCATAACCTAGAGTGGGCCACAGGCCTCACTGGGCCTCATCCTAGTCCCTTCTGCCACTATGCGGTGTCTACTATCTTTAAAGCAGACCTTGACCACTAAAGGCATGATAGCACACGCCTTTAATCCTAGCACTGGAGAGCCAGAGCAGGAGGATCTCTGTGAGTTCAAGGACAGCCTGGTCTACAGGAAGAAACCCTGTCTAGGAGAGAAAAAAAAAAGGTTGTACCATCCTGGGGTCCCCATTTACTGAGTCTGCCAAGTTGTCCCTGGGTACACCTAGCTCCTGTGTCCTCTAGCAGATAGACTTTCTTCCTTTTTTCCTGCTTTCTAATTCAAATCCCAGGTATCAGGCCTCGATATCCCTGAGATGGGATAGCAACCATGAAGTTAAGTGAGGTACCCTAAGCCATCCCTCACCAGTGGATACTGGTCAGATGGGGGTTTTATATTCTCCAGGTGCCAGGAGCAGTACTCAAGCTGACTCTGGTTCCAGTGAGGATGAAGCGGCCAGTGAGGCCCGGAGTACCACCAGTGAATGTCCCAGCCTTCTCAGCACCGCCGCAGAGGATTGCCTGGGTGAGAGCAAGCTGAAGTTTGAGAGGGGCTCAGTGAGGGCTCCTCCACTGGACAAGGGCAGGGTCCAGTGATGACCGGCTGACTTTGCAGGTGGGGAAGCTGTGGATGAACAGAGCCAGCAGGAAAACCTGGAGGAAAAGCTGAAGGATTATGTGGACTGCCTGACTGACAAGAGGTACCTCTGGCTGCTGGCCAACTTCTACACTTGGGGCCCTGTTCAGCCGATGACAAATGGAACCAAGGGCACTGTCACCCACACGAACCCTTTTTCACCTCCCAGTGCCAAGACCCGGCAAGGAGCTCTGGAGAGCCTGCGCCTGGCCCTGGCCTCCCGCCTACTTCCGGACTTTTTGCTGGAGCGCAGCCTCACTCTGGCGGATGCCCTGGAAAAGTGCCTTAAGAAAGGTCAAGTCCTGGGCACTTGGGGAACCCTAGCTAGGCAGGTGTTGATGCTTGCTGCATGCGCTAACTGGAAAGCATCCTGTAGGGAAGGGTGAAGAACAGGCCCTGGCTGCTGCTGTGCTAGGCCTACTCTGTGTGCAGTTGGGCCCTGGACCCAAGGGCGAGGAGCTGTTCCATAGCCTGCAGCCCCTGCTAATCTCGGTGCTCAGTGACAGTACGGCAAGCCCCACTACCCGACTCCATGTGAGTATTTCCATGCCTGTCAGTCCCTCATCCCCAGTCAAGGGGTCGTGTTCTACCTGTCTTCAGATTCTCTCCTCATATGACGTTCCTGGTGTTGACCCATGGTGGCCTGGCTCTGTCCTCTTCCCAACAGTGTGCTTCTGCTCTTGGCTTGGGCTGTTACGTGGCTGCCACCGATGTCCAGGTAAGTGGACTTTGGACACAAATGGTAGAGCAGCTTTGCTCAGTAGCTCTGTCTGTGAGCCACGCCTGTCTCCCTGTGCTCCTAGGACCTGATCTCTTGCTTGGCCTGCTTGGAAGGTGTTTTCAGCTGGTCCTGTGGCACTAGTGGCTCTGCTGCTTCTCTGGTTCCTGCCAGCCTACATGGCCTGCTCTGTGCTGCCCTGCAGGCCTGGGCATTGCTGCTCACCATCTGTCCTAGTACCCACATCAACCATATCCTTGACAGGTAAGGGCTGTTGCCTCCTGGGAGTGAGAGGGAATTTGTGAAGGGACCCTCAACCCATACGTGAAGCTTAGCTTGCCCTTTCTGTAGGCAGCTACCCCGGCTGCCCCAGCTCTTGTCCAGTGAAAGTGTGAACCTGCGGATTGCTGCTGGTGAAGCCATCGCCCTGCTCTTTGAGCTTGCCCGGGACCTTGAGGTGCGAGGGACAATAGGAAGAGCCCGCTGGCACCACTGATCATCCCAGGCTGTTTGCAAAGCATGCCACAAACAAAACCCAGCAGTCTTGGGTCATTTTGCAGGGGAGGTGACTGCAACTCTTACGTACACACTAGTCACTATAGCGGGGGGTCCTGAATAGAGGTGAACTGCTGAGGAGAGGCCAAGGAGGGGCTGAGAGAGGAGGAGCCAGGCAGAGGGGCGAGTAAGCGGAAGAAGAGCTTTGGAGAACACCTTGCTGAGTTCCAGAAGAGGTCAAGCTTCCACCCGGTACCTCCATTGTTCCCACACAGGAGGACTTTGTGTATGAGGACATGGAGGCGCTCTGCGGATCTCTGCGTACCCTGGCCACTGACAGTAATAAGTACCGTGCCAAGATTGACCGTCGGCGCCAGCGCTCCATTTTCCGTGCTGTGCTGCACTTTGTCGAGGTGTGTTTGAGGACATGAGTGTCCTTTAAAAATGTGTCCCCAAGGGTTAGACGTGGTGGCTCACATCTGTAATCCCAGCACTTAGGAGGCGGGGGCATGCTGGTAAATTCCAGGACAGCTAGGGCTACACATGTCCCAGGCATGGCAGCCAGTCCCAATCATGGGTCCTCTACTCTGCAGGGCGGTGAGTGTGAAGAGGAGACAATCCGCTTTGGACTGGAAGTGCTCTACATAGACAGCTGGGCTCGCCACCGCATCTACACAGCCTTCAAAGATGTGCTGGGCTCCGGCATGCACTATCACCTCCAGGTGAGGGGACACAGGGAGAGGGCTACCCAACCTGACTGCTTCAGACTGGGCATACTCTGTCACCTCCAGGTGAGAGAACACACAGGGAGGGCCATCTAGCCTGACTGCTTCAGACTGGCCTTAGCTAATTGCCTTGTTTTCAGAACAACGAGCTTCTCCGTGACATCTTTGGCCTGGGCCCCGTGCTAGTGCTGGATGCTGCTGCCCTGAAGGCCTGCAAGATTTCACGTTTTGAAAAGGTTTGCACCTTGGCACCTTTGTCTTGCCTTCTGTTACCCAGAGGCCTAGAGCTGTGAGTGGGCTTTCTTGGTTCACCATGCTCCCTTCTTTGCCTCTCTGACAGCACCTGTACAATGCTGCGGCCTTCAAAGCCCGGACCAAGGCCCGGAGTCGTGCAAGGGACAAGCGGGCAGATATCTTGTGACTCAGACTGGCCAACGAGAAGGCTACCCATACCCATACCATATTTTTAACAGAAGATAGTGCAGAACTGGTCCCTGCCAGTGATTGTCACTTTATTTTTTTAATGATGAAACCAAAAATAGACACATGTGGGAGGGTCAAGGGACCAGGACACTCAGACTCAAGCCCTTTGTCTGTGCACTCAGCCCCGTGGCTGTGGCCTTTTCCTGTCCTGTCTCAGGTAAAACCAAATGTGTGCTGGTCCTGGAGGTGATGGGCGGGCAGTGAGAAAGGACTGTCCCCTTTGTTTTCTAGACCTTACCCCCTGGGGCTGCTTCCTTTGGGGGTCTGGCACCTGGCCACCATGGCATAGAGTAGGCAAAGCTGCCTAGAATGGATGTGTGTGCTGGTTTATTAAAGATAAGAGAGAATTAAACAATACTTAGCCCCCTGTGGCCTTTATCCTGAGTCTTTTGCCTGCCCTCCCTCCCATCTCCCACTCCAGGCTTGGCTGCAGCTAGATCTCTACTTCACCTTTGTCCTCCATGGCAGGACGAGTAGTTCCCCAACTCAGCCTAGCTTGCCTGAGAGCTGAGACTGGACCCCCCACTAGGAGGCTTGGCAGAGTGGGTGGCTGAGCCAGGACAGCTATTTCTAGACTTTTGAACCTCCTATCTGGGGGTGGCCAGAGGGTGCTGACAGGAGGTGCCAGGAAAAGACTGGTGCCCCATCCTCTGACCTTTGGCTATCCAGAGCAGGGCCTTGACACCAGAAGGTTTGGTCAGGCCTGGCCTGAAGAGGTCAAGAGACAGGCAGCTGTGGAGTTACATCAGGCTCGTACAGAAATCTCACCAAGGAATAGTGTAGATGAGGCCATCAGTGAGGTGGCCTTCATCCCCCTCACAGTCTCACATATGGATGGCATCTCAGCTGGGTGCCCGAGCCTCACTGGAGTTGAGCCTTCTGAGCTGGCTGAGGCTAGCCAGACGCAATTTGAGCAGAGTCTCCTCTTGTGTGCGCAGCGTGTATGCCAACACCCTCAGGGATTCGCTCTGCAGCACTGGGGGTGGGAAGAGATTTGCGGGACCTGTCAGACCGAATGCCTCCCCAGATCCCCACACAGCCCTGCATCAGGGTTGCCCACTGGCCCATGCCCCACCCTTTATTGCTTCATTTCCAGTTGCCCTGGGGTCCCATTCTGCCTGTCGCTACCACTTAGGTAGACAGCCACAACAGCTAGTGCCAGGCAGGTGAACACCAGCAGTGCCAGTAGCAGAAAGAACCCCCCACGGCCACACACGGGGCTGCAGCCAGCTTGGGTGCACAGTGATGGTGGTAAGACACCCAGAAGCTCCTCCCAGGCCTGGGCCTCTTCAGCCAGACAGGGCCGTAGTGAGCCTGTAGGGAGAACGGTCCATCAGGAAGGTGGTACCCACAGCATCCATCTCACTCCCTTTCGAGCTCCCTTACCTCCGCTGTGTAGGTCACTGATAGACTCCACTCGGTGCAGACGAACCTCCTGCACATGGTTAGGAGCCAGTGTTCCCCTGTTTCTCTGGTTCTGCATTGGCAACACGGTGTCTACAGGGACAGTGGGACAAATTAGAGCAAGCAAGTCCTCACTTTATAGATAAACTCAGACTGCAGGGACTTGGGACATATAGGAACTACACCTGTGCATTTGGTTCCAAATTCCCTATAATTTCAGGAATGACAGTTTGGGTCCAGGGTTCCAAAGGCTTAGTCTGTGCATAGGGGCTCTTGATGTGCTCCCGTGGTCACATTTGGGCATTTCTCTGCTTTGCCCTTTATTTCTCCTAGCCTCTGTTCTGCCTTAACAGTCAGTTTCAGCCTCTCTTTCAGGAGCCCTGCTGTTTGCACTCAACAGCGCCGCAGGAGTCCACTTTTTTCATAGCAGTTTCATAGAACTTTGAGGGCTCCTTCCTCTGGCCTCCCTCTGAGGCTATCTGGGCATTTAGGTAGTTTCCAATTCTCTGTGGAAATTAACCCCCAGGACATCCATCATTAAATACAAGGTTTTTTTCACTTTCCTGAAAGTTACTGAGGACAGTTCTCAGAAATGGAAATCACAGGGCCCAAAAAATGGATATTTCTCTTTAAAGCTGTCATCAAAACTGTCTTCTAAAAGGCCTGTCCAGAGCCCCGCAGTACAACATCGAGTCGTTAGGCATCCCATTGTGGGAAAATGTGTTGTGTATGTGCAGAAGCCAGAGGTCTTGCTGACCTAGCTCTGGAACTCAACAGATAACCTAGACTCACTAACCACAGAGCCCCAGGGACTCTCCTATCTCTACTCACCAGACCTGGGATCAGAAGTGCCCCGTGCTCTGCAGGCCACCTCCCAGACATAAAGACTGGCGTACAGCATCTGATTTCTGACTTGTTTCTCAGCATGGTAATGTGAGCTTCACACACATTATGGCCCCTGAGAAATGAACTCAGGTCTTCTGTCTTGCTAGACAAGCTTTTTACAGAACTATCTCCAGACCCTGTATGCACACACCTTTACATATCTTTGCTGATTTTCGAGATGAGAAACAGCTTGCCTTGATTGCTGCCTAGGGAGCCCGACCAACATGTGTGTAATTCCCATTCACAGGTTCTGCCTATTTAGTCCCTGACTACGGTTCCCTTACGGTTATATTTATTTCAGATTTTGCTCTTTTGAGGTAGTGGCTCACTGTGCTGGCCCGGAACTCAGTGCATAGCCTAAGCTAGGATGGCCTTAAACTCGGAATTCCCTTGCCTCAGCCTACCTATTACTGGTATTAAATGTGTGCGTCTCTACCCAGCTTTGCTATGTGTTAGCGATATGTGTGTGGTGAATGCCTGCTTGTGTTTAGACACTTGTGCATGTGTGTAGAGAGGAGAGGAGGACTGGGTGCCCCATCTCTTACTCTCTGCCTTATTCCTTTGAGACAGGACTCTTCCTGAGTCTAGGAATCGGTGGGTTTTGTTTGTTTTTATGGTTTTATTTAGGTGTTTGCTTGTTTGTTTTTGACAACAGTAGCAACAGGCAAGCTCCAGTGACCTTCCTATCTTCCTGTCCGGTACACACAGCACTAAGGTTATAAGATACACAAGACCACACCTGGCTTGTTACATAGTCACTGGGATCTGAACTCTGATTTTCTGGTTGTACAGCAAGTGTTTTTAATTACTGTGCCATCTCGTCCCTCCCCCAACCTCTCCTGTTTAAGACAGTCTCAGAAAGTTCCCAGACTGGTTTTGAGTACCTGGTTAACTCAAGTGATCCCTCTGCTTCAGTCTTCCAACTGCTATCAAAATATTTGTGATTTCTAAATAACTATCACTGTACCTTCTGCTGGTGTTATTTGACTGGATATTTATTTATTTTTGAAACAGAGACTCACTATGTAGATGTGGCTGCCTAGAATTCAGAATATAGACCAGGCTGGCCTTGAACTCACAAGAGATCCTCCTGCCTCTGCCTTCTGAGTGTGCACCACCAAGTTCTTTTATTGGATGTTGTTTTGTTTTGTATTGTTTTGTCCCAGCTCCACAGAGCTCCAGATGCCTGCCAGGAACCCAGGTGACACTGTAGCACAGCACTGGGTAAGGATGGCTTTGGGCCCTCTGGGTCCTCCCATCTTAGCCTTTAAGACATGCTTGAAGCTGCCTCTTGCCATGCTCACAAGCGATTCAAACAAAAAGAGGCTGTCAGTCCTTGAGCCTGGATGGTGGGCTGCAGGTCACATTAAATCCCCTCTGCTCCTCACTCTGCTTCCCCATACTTCATATTTGAACATGTTTTATTTGCTACAGAAAAAGATACATGGTAGATGTTACAGTTAAGTCTCCCCTTCTCCCCCCCCCCCCAAAAAAAAGGTAAACATCTTCCCTTTTTGTTTGTTTGTTTGTTTTTGAGACAGGGTTTCTCTGTGTAGCCCTAGCTGTCCTGGAACTCACTCTGTAGACCAGGCTGGGCTTGAACTCAGAAATTCGCCTGCCTCTGCCTCCCAAGTGCTGGGATTAAAGGCATGCGCCACCACCTCCCGGCAACATCTTCCCTTAGTAAAAGGCAGGCCCTTTCTCTGCAGTAAAAAATATTGAGGGGGACAGGATACGCAGCAGGTAAAGGCACTTGACTAGCTAGGTGTCAGTCTTGACCAGGCTGAGAAACTTAGGGCAGGCCTGTCTACTTCGTAGTCCCCCCTAGGCCAGATGTCCAAATGCTCCCCAGAACCAGTCTTCATCCCAATCCTGGCTTCTTCACTGAAGGAAGCACTGAACTGCTTTGAAGTTCCCCAGATGCCCATACCCACTTGGGCACAGCCTATAGTTGACCCATTCCAAAGTGGAGAGTTTTGAATCCCTCCCTGAGGCAGGACCTTAGGTGGGAAGGAGTTCTAAGTGTGACAGGTCCATTCTTTTTCCATGCACTGGGGTCCAAAAAGACCGAGAGGTCTCCCCATGAAGCTAGGTCTCTCTGTGAGCCATAGGACTAGATCCCTGTCCTCCCCAGTGGCCACCCTCTCCTACCTTCTTGGGTCTCCTCAGGCATGGCAGTTGGTAGGTAGTCAAGGGCCCAATGAGAGTGCCCAGTAGTAGAGCTTGACAAAGGCAGCAGTGGCTCCTTTCAGACTGTGGGAGAGGCCTGGCCGCCTCCCAGCCTGGTGTTAAAATAGGCCTGAGCTCACTTTCCCTGGACTATATTTAGAGGGGGCAGCTCCAAACCACGAAAAGGGGCAAAGTGACCTAGACAGGCCGGCCTAGACTACCTACTTGGGGATGGGGCTGAGCCAAGAGCAAGCCTCTGCTAGCACATGGGCACAAGGAACTTCTCAGAAAACTATACCAACTCTACATACGCCCAGACCTGGGGGCCTTCATCCCGAAGATTAGCGTGCCGCATGCACCGTGTAGTGTGATAGGAAAGGAACCCTGCACAGTGCACTCATCCCTCCCTCACTCCCATAGACCCTTTGCCCACAGCTAGCTGTCTTCCAGCAAATGGGAGATAATCACCCACCACTGTGTGACCATCTGGTACCAGATATTGGGGGTGGGTAGGTGAGGTGCAACTGGAGCCCAGTGCCACAGGGATCTGGCAGCCCTACAAGTAGGCACCCATGCTGGCCAGTGGACAGACGGGTTAGAAGCTGTTATTTCTAATATTAAACTATAACCTTAGGTAAAAAGAGTGGCCTCTGCTTTTCATTCTGTAAAACATGAACAAGGGTTCCTGGCCCACCGTACTGAGAATAAAAATGCAGAGGCATGACTAACACACTTAGACACAAGAGGTCTTGGTTCTCCCTCTCCTCTCCACAAGGGCTTAACAGTCCACGTGGAGACACGTTGCTCACTCTTGAAGGGTGCTGGTCCAGCTTGAAGGCCTTAGTCTGTGGGTAGACTCTGTTCTACTTCTCAACGATGCAAAGCAAGACTGGCAAGGTCTACCTTCCAAGCCATCCGGAATCCATAGTGCCACACTACCATATCAGCCTCCTTGGTGTTCCTCAGACTTGGAGGGTTTGTCCCCTGCTCCAAGACTTTGTACTGGTTCTTCTATCCTGGAATGTTCAGTCACCAGACATCTGTGACTGGCTCCTTCTTTCAGCTCAAATGTCACCCATTCAGTGAGTTAATACATCCTTACCCACAACATCCAGTTTTGTTTGTTTGTTTGTTTGTTTTTACTTCAGAGAGCTTGGCCCTGCCACTAAAGCACTGTGCATGCCAGCACCCCCAGAGGCTCACTGGAACCAGCATAACCATCTACTAACACGTTTTAATCTTCACTTCAGCATTCTTGGATGAGAAAAATGCAGGCCTTGAGACTGCTAGGATGATGCCTGAGACCCCCAGCAAATTCTAGGACTATCTGTTGTCTGCTGGGGCCATTCCAACATCAGCTGATAATGTGTTTATTGTGTTACTTTAGTACAGTTGGCCTGCCTCACCCCACATCCAATGGTTTAATCTGTTCACAGCTTTCTGCTCACTGCCCAATAAAGAGGATGCTTTCCCCAGGGCTGCCACCCAAGACTACTCTCTGGTCTTGGTCCACTCTGGAGTCCCAATTCTCTGTCCCCTCCCTCCAGGTTAGATCCTGAATTGACCTTGGGCCACTCTTTTGGGGCTACATTCACGGGTTATCTTGTTAATAAATAAGGTACCCTTTGGCCAGGGCCTATGTGTGGGTTAGGTGTCTCCGTTGGCTCAAGGACCCCAGTGTGCCCCCGCCACAACTCATTTGTCTTCCTGGCATCTGCCCCCTCTTCGGAGTGTCATATCCAGCCTGATCCCCATTGTGGGGACAGCCAAGTCATCAGTGAGCTGCGCTACGTGGTCCACGCTCAGCACGCAGCTCAGAGACATGCATCCGCCTGTTGCGACCCTTACGACGTGAATCTGCTGCCACAGAGTGGGGTCCGGGCTGCGGGCGGCACATTCGCAGGGAGTTTGCACCTCCACCACCGCCTGGCTCCACCAACTGCAGAAAGTCTCGGTACCAGAGTTTAGGGCCTGGTGGTGCTGGAGCCGCTGCCTCCTCGGCCCGCACCAGTCTTTCAGCCTGTGCCGCACTCAGCACATGCAGCACCAGGCGACGCAGTGGTTGTGAAAACCCTTGTTCAACCGCGATGCACAGATAGACGCCAGAGTCCTGGTGCCGCAAACCACGCAACAGCAGCCCCCGCGCAGTGCGCTCTATTCGCTCCTCAGCCAGCACCTATGTGTGAGGGAAGAAACAGAAATAAAGGGTCATTGGAAGCCAAAGGTGGACAGGGAAAATAGCTGCTGGCACTTACTTTATTAAAGGGTATGTATGTGCACAGGAATAGGTAGCCTTCAGAGGATGAGTCGATCTAGGTGAGAGGGCTCACTTGAGTGGGGGATAGGGTACACTAGAAACCTCAATGCATGGGTTGAGGGCTTTCTCCAGATGGTAGAGGGTGGGTCAGGAGTCTAGTTGGGCACCGTGGGGGCATCACTAGGTTGTGAAGTCCAGCTAAGGACAGAAGAGGAAGAGACCTATGATAAGGGAATCTGACTGAACAGAGCCTCACTGAACTGGACTTCACACAGGTAGGAGATGCAGGCCAAAGAACTCCTTAGGCAAGGCATGGCTTCTCTTAAATGGGCCTGGTTAGGAAGGGTGGAGCGAGGCACACCTGGGTGTGAGCTGCCTCCCCTGCACGATGGAAGGTCCACTCCACATGTGCCTGGAGCGAGCGGGGCTCACACTCCAGAAACGCGCTGCCGCTCTCCACGCCTAAGACCTTCCTCTCCAGCAGCACAGAGTGAGAGGAGTCTTGAGACAAAAATGTAAAAATTCAGACAAGGCAAGGCTAGATGTGGCAATTTCAAGGCCCGAGGGTAGGAGCTGATGGGGTACTCACCCCCAGAGCACAGGGTGCTGGGGTCGCCATTCCTTACGTCTTGTCTCCGGAACCGCCTGAGGGAGGCATTAAAACCTATGAGCCCTTCTCTGGCGGCAGAGACTCCCTTCCCAGTAGCCCAATCCAGACTCCAAACCAACCCACCTCTTGGCAGTAGGCTGGAAGCGTGTGCAGGCTGATCCATCCCAGGCGCAGTAAGGATCCCGGGCCAAGCAGCATTCTGCGCAGGCGCGGCCTAGGGCAGTGCAGCGATGCAAAGCAATCTGGGCCACCGCGCTGGGTGATGCTACATAGAGCTGGTGCTAGAGGGCACAAGAGTCTCCAGTCTGATGGAGGACAGCCTTTACCTTGCTCCCTTCAGTCAGATAGTCTTTTCCCCATTGGGCAGATGGGAACACTGAGGTCTCATTGTCTAGCAACGAGAAGCTAGACCTGAACTCTGGGCTTCGAAAACCAAGACAAGTGGGGTGCTGGTGGGACAAGTTCAGTTCTTCCCCAAGTTGAGTCACTCACCCTTTTAGAGGAGATTTGCATGCTGGTGATAGCGGCAGAGTCCTGAAAGGGAGGGTGGGCAATCGGATCAGGGCTTAGTGGCTTCAGGTGATGTGTCCTAGGGTGACTAGGGATGAGGCCTCACCTCAAACACCTGCAGCTCTTCCAGAAGAAGTCCTTCAGAGTTAGGTCGGCTGCCCTTGGGGACTGAGATCACTTTTAACACTGTGCCCACATCTGAAGAAACGAAAAGAAAAAGTGACTGTTGGTTTTCCCTAACAAGCTGTGTGTGTGTGTGTGTGTGTGTGTGTGTGTGTGTGTGTGTGTGTATGCTTCCGCCTGCACGAAAATGTGCACGCACATGTGCTCGCACCCTTGCCTCCACCTTCATCATGACTGGGTCATGAAGAAGTCACAGTTGTGGGTTGAAACAACAAAGAGAGCCTTCAGAAAGTGGGGTCACAGCCCAGACAAAGATGTAGATATTAGACTGACCAGAGACAACTTCTACCTCTGGGACAAGGAACCTGGAAGGGGTGCTGTGTCCTATGGGCCATTGTGTGAGCCCCTGACCTGTACCAATGAAGAGAACATCATAGTGTCCATCAGCAGCTGCTACTCGGTCTGCAGCGATTTGGGTGAAGGTGTAACCAGCTCCCACTTGTAGGAAGAGAGGGCGCCCTCCCATGGGCAGGACTGAGTTGTACATGAGAGGGTGGTTCCGAGCAAACTGGATAACATCATCTGGGAAGTCCTTGGTGGAGCTGAAGGTGCCAAACGTCTTGCTGGGGCACTAGGGAAGGCAAGGCACATCAAGCAGAGATACAGGGTTTTTGTGGTCAGCCCTCCATTCAAAGCGTCTGGGAACGTGAAAGGTGGGATGGGACAAGGGCCCTGAGTGTCTCAGTCTTTCCCTGGTGAACCTTAGGCTGAGGGTAAAGCTCTATCTTTAATGATGGTGACATTTCCCCACCCATACCAAAAGGAAGAAATCACACTGCACCCCCTCCCCCAGCAAAACCCCCAGACTGAGTCAAGTCCTTCACCCTTGAGAAGTTGATTACTGCAAGTGGTCCCTAGCAACGCACCATGCCAGGTCTTGGGTAGGGGACACGACCCTGGTAGGACACCCACTGATGTGTAGGCCCCTCTTTGTGAGCAAAAGGTCCCAAGAAGGCTCGGCGCACATCGTTCATGCTGTACACGCACACAGCAGAGCCCTGGAAGATGCCACTGCCGGCAATGAAGAGAGCAAAGTGAGGAGCCCCAGCAAGCTCAACTGACTGCCCAAGGGAACTGCATCCTGCCTCTCACCTGGAGGTGGTGAAGATAGCATAGAGAAGAGGGGTCTGGCGGTCTCGGGAAGACAAAAGGAAAACATCCTCTGCAGGGAAAGACAAGGGTGGCGCAGCAGTACTCACACACCTCAAGCTCCTGGACTCTGCACCCTGACTCCTCCCCTGACACTACCCTTCATTCAAGATACTCACGAAGTTGGTCAAAGTGGGTGTCACCCTCAACTCCAGGTACTGAGCACACAAGCCGCGCCTTCAGAAATGTGGTCCATTTATTGACCAAGCTCCGCTGGCCACCCAGGTCATTCTACTCACAGGATCAGAGAGGGATGAGAATAAGATCATAACAGGCAAAAGGTCAAGGGCAAAGGTAGCCAAGGGATGAATTGGCCTAGTGTCTCTTTACCCGGCAGATCTGGCCAACACGAGACACAGTCATGCGCCCCATTGCTGGTGCTGCTTCCACAGCGGACTCGCGGAAGAAGAAGTAGATTTTATCGTCATCAGGGTTCTCACTCTCTGGGATCCAAAAGACCTTGACAAACTTCGGTTCTAGCCAAAACAGGAGGCACGGTGTCAGCAGGTCCTGGTCCTGGTCCACGACAAAGACTACCCACCCCACCCACCCCCACGCCCCCTTTGCAGGCTCCCACAACCAGCGCCTCCAAGACCCACCCTTATGATCGGCATCTGCAAAGCAAGAAGCAGCCACGAGGGGGCAGTAGAGACCATAGCTATGAGCTCAAGCGGTCTGTCCCTCTCCTCTTTGCAGGGCTCCTGACCATGCCACACTTCCTTAATTTGTCAGGAAAAGAGGGAGATTGGGTATCTGTTTTCACCTTCATTCACAAATCTTCCTCCCTCGAAGATCAAACACTCTCTGTTTCCTGCTTCAGTTTCTCCTGCTGTCCCACAGTAAAGGGCTCCAGCCCTTGAGAGTCTGGGTTTCCTATCAATACTGGTTGCTTGAGCCTTATCTTTGCTGACTCTTACCTCAGGTAAGAGTGCTAATCGTTTCCTTACCTAGAATGCTCATCCAATTCTGTTGGCTGGCTTTTTTGTGTTCTGGAAGCTATGGATAACTCATGGCTCCTCCCAGCAATAGCTTCCGTTATTCAACCCAGACACCTTTTTTCCTTTTCTGTTCTTTCATCTTTCTCGGCCACTGGACGGTATCTCATCATATCCTTGCCCTGAGCTCCATGGACTCGGTGACTCTTGCCTGCCTCTCTGTGCCTCTGGCTCAGGTATTACAGTAGATACTCGGAGAGACTTCAACATTGCTCTCATTCTGTGGCTCCTTCCCTACTGGAGGCTGGCAGTCCCCTCCTCCCAGAGCCTCCACCAGCATCTCACCATTGAGCCAGCGGGAATCATGGGGCTCTGTTCGGAGACTCGGATTCTGACCCAGGCTTCGAAAGATGGTAAAGTCCCGACCCATAAGGTCTGCTGCCACCCCAGAATACAGCTCTTCCCCTGCAGACAGAGGCAAAGGGGTGCTCAGCCAGCTACGAACTCTCGGAGTAAGAGTGTGTAGGGAGTTCTTGGTGTGGGGGGGGGCTGCGCGGGGTGTTCAGGGAGTCAAGACTATAGGGCATCTGAGGGGGTGCTACCCCAGGACATGATGCGTGAAGTTCTAGAACTTCTAGAGGGTTCTAGAGTTATATTGAGTGCCAGCATTTGGACTCACCCACCAGCACCGAGGCAGCCCGATGCCTTGGGTCATAAGGACTTTTTCCCTTGCCATCCTCAAGTTTCCTCAGGTCCAGTTGGAGCATGGGTTCCTGGGGACGGGAGTTGTTAATGCCAGGTCCTTGTCATTCTTCCTGCCTCTCCACTGCCTAGTCCTTGTCTTACCTCCAGCCGGTGGCCCACCTCCACAAACGCACAGGTTGGGTGGAAGGCCCCTGTGCCACAGGCCAGTAAGTGGGTGTGGTTGTAGGTGTGCAGCAGCTTCACGAAGTTCATGCACTCCGCCTGGTGGGCAGGTGGGGGGAGGGTGTGTAGTCAGGCTTTCCCCAGGGAGACAGCCCGAAGGAGTTGCAGGTCACTAGGGGCATCCCGCCCTTCCTCTCTTCTGCATCAGCCCAGGGAAGTACTAATATGAGTTACAGGGACCTGAGTGGCCTTTGGGACAACCTACCTTCACAAGGCGACCACATGCGGAAGTATAGATATTCACAGCCCTCCCCCCATGACTCAGAGGCCCCCTGAGAAGATTCACATGAGCTCTTACCCTGACTCACCACCTCTTCTGCCTTGACCTCCCTGCCCTTACCCCAGCCATAACAGGCTAGCCTCTCTCTCAGCCCTGGGCTGGGGGCCCCAATCCTCTTCCGCATACTCCCCTTTGAGTAGCCCACACTCACACCAATGTCCTTCCCTGCCCAGTTGCATTCTTCACGCCATTCCACAGGGGCAGGCCAGGCCAGCTATGGGGAGGGAGCACAGGTTAGGGACTTGGGCACTCTTTATTTTGTGGCTTTCTCCATTCAGTTGCCCACCCCTTTGAGATTCTGTAGAGTCTAGACAGACAGATTGGGACCCTAAGGCTTTTTCCTGCGGCAGCACTGAAGTTGAGAGTAAGGTTAGGGGTCCCTGGTACCTTCTTGGGTCGCTTGCTGATGTTGTCCAGGCTGAGGGAAGCCACATGGTTCTCGGCGCCCACAAACAGGCGTCCACGCTCCTCATCCACCAGCAAGGCTTCATAACAGCAGGTCCGCTCCAGCCTGAAGGTTCGGACACTGTGACGGGCCTGTAATTCTGTGGGGAGAGATACCTCTCAGTACGTGCCTGTCGTAACAGCGACAGGAACTACCTCAAGGCCCTGCCTGGTTGTCTATCTGCAGACCAAGGTTATTTGTGTGACACAAGACATACACATGTACACTTACATGGATGCGAGACTGGCCCACCCACCCAAGCGCATGTACAGAGTCACAGGGTGGGCGGCCCCAGAAAGGAGAAAACAGGTTTAGGAAAACATGTGTAGACAAGTGGGCTGGCATGCTGGGAGGCCAGGCTTATGGACACCAAGGTTCTAGTAAAGGCAAAGGGAAGATGAACTGACAGGACAGAATCCATCCCTAAAATGTCAGGCTGAGGGTTATTTTCCTGTCACCCTATCACTAGCTTGGATTCAGCAGAGATGACCAGCAAATGCCACTCTGTCCCCAGGGACCACCCCTGTGGGCACGGAGTGTAAGAAAGGGGCTCTCACAGACCCTCAAACCTGGACTTAACTACTAAAGAGGCATAGATTGCTTTGGGATGGGGGAGATGAGACGGAGGCAGGGACTGTTGCTATGGAGACAGTAGGGGTCCTCCTTGGGAAAGCATGAGCAGAATGTAGGCAGAGAGGTTGGGGGCTGAGGCTAGGACAGGGTTAACTGGAGATGGCCCAAGAATACCCGCAACCCAACAAGTAATGAAGATGCACAGACTGGCACCAGCAAGTCTTTCCATACTGGGCCCTTTTCCTGCTCACCTCAAGCAGGCCCCTCCATCTGCCAGGTGCACCTACCTTGAAAGGAGAGCCGAAGGCGGGGAAGGTGAGGGGCAGCATCCCCTAACCCTGCTACCCAGAGAAGGGCCAGGCCTGGGATCATGGCGGCGGCCTCAGCCCGCCCCATGCCGGCAGCTCAGGGCGCTCAGGGTTCAGCGGGCGTGTGTGGAGGAGCCTTCAGCAGCCCTGGACTCTGCCCCAGGATCTGGAAGAGAAGAGTCTGTAGCCAAGCAGAGAGGGTAAGGGCGGGTGGGAGGGCATGGGGGAGTCCCAAGGGATCAGATTACAG